GGAGGTTTCTTCCGTTAAAGGGAGTTTTTCCTCCCCACTGTCGCCAAGTGCTGCTCAAGGGGGATTTGTTGGGTTTTCCCTCTGTAATAATATTGATAACAGTAAGGTCTAGACCTTACTTTGTAAAGTGTCCTGAGATGACTTTTGTTGTGATTTGGCGCTATACAAATAAAATTTGATTTGATTTAACACACATTGACTGAAAGACACAATTCTGAATTCAACACACAATCACACAAACTTTAGGAAACATGACTGAGGACACAAAACTACGTCAGTAAAACCAACACAGACAGAGACAAACAATACACATAACTAGATGTGTGGTATGATGACAAAGACAGAAACACATAAAATGATAAACACACCGACAGCTCATACATTATAAACACTAATATACAAAACAATACAAATGCAATTAGTGGTGAGAACATGGACATAGACACTAAACGTCAACTCTAAACACAACCAGACAAGACAGGGCTTTACTTGACTCCAGGAGAGCCCTGCACAAGAATTCCTATATGCCTAGACTGTGTGTTTATGCATAAATGGCAAATAAAAATCTTGAATCTTGAAATACAGGACGAGACCCTAAAACAACCTGCACTTAGAACCACGGCAGGCTGAGTCAGAGCACAAAAATAGTGTTGATTTCTTCAGCAGTAGTGTGCAGTGTGTGTGAGTGCATCTGTAGGCGAACTGTTGTTGTGATTGTCCTTTACATTCAACCATAAAACAAATGCTGTATTGTCCAGATCTGCACACTGCTTCGCCTCCTCTCTAATGTATCTTTGTTTAGGCAAACTGGGTGTGTGTGTGTGTGTGCATGAGCTACATATGTGCACATGCCCACATATTCATTTGTGCATCCTCTGAGACAAGAAAGGAAAAAATAAGAAAAAAGAGAGAGCTAAGGTTTCTCTAACCCCTCCTTCTTCTTCTCCAAGCTGGTTGCCCATGGCAACACATTTATGACGAGGTCAGATGGACATCCAATAATATTCACCAGACAAACCAGTGAGAGAGCGAGGCGCACTGGGACAGACAGCAGTCAAAGTGTCAGAGCCTGGATCAGCAACAAGACAAGATGGCCGCCACATAAGTACTGCAAGCTGGCACACACAGTAAAACTGATCTGGAATCAGCCTATGGAGAGCAGGTTTCCCTTTTATTTAGGCATGATTTACCCAGTAGGCCAGTTTGGACACCTGACCCAACAATCACTGATCAATTATGGAACTTAACCAAGTTTCCAGAGTCTTGTAACTGATGTTTCTGCGAAAAGAAGCCAGCAGCAGTACAATCAAACTGCAAGTCTCAAAACTTCATACAGTAGATGTTTGTCAAACAGAGCTTCCAAAGCTCATTCATGAGTCGGCCTTTGGAAGGTGAACGTGCTGATGCGAGAATCTAAAAATCAGTTTATCTACTGGTGCAACTGTTCTGTGAAAGGGTTCCCACCAGGAAGTCGTACGTCTTCACACAAACTTAAGTTGATCATGTATTCTCATTAAGGTGCAGTCAGGTGAGTGCTGAAGCTACCACTGAATTTGGAGCAATTTAATGAGAAGGTTTTAGAATATATATCTTAGGACTGGTATTAGTAAACAAATGAAAACTTTTAAATCCAAGTGAAAGGCCTTTAGTATTTTCCAAAATAATTACACCATTGGCAATATAGGAAAGACTTTTAACCAGCATTTAGGCCATAATATAGGGTGATCAAATCTACTGAAAATATAGTTTACACTAAATAACTAAAATGTGAACATTAGAATTTTTTTAATCTACCAATTAGACAACCAGCATAGAAAAGATTCATCAGGGGGCGGCTGATGTGGGACCAACTCGGCTGCTTTTAGAATCAGAAACCATAAAACAAGCCTATAAGGTGATTATCCTAAAAGAATGCATGGAACTGTTCAATGTAACCTGGCATATTTACCTACAGAGCCACCGCTGTGTTCCCAAGTTAACACACAACACTGGAAGACATGCACAGAAGATGCCAGTGGACATGTGGCAGTAATGTGGATAAGCACTGTGGTTAGAAACTCTTGTGAAATCAAGGCGACTCAAGTCTTTAGTGACGCTGAGAGAACTCAGAGCCAAAGACCCCAAACAAAAGGCATGAGAAATGGAGAGAAGGATGATGGGAAAAAGGACGTGTTGAGAAAGGCAGATCAGATGCAAGGTGTCTTCAGTTGCTACCGTCCTCCAGACAAAGGATGCAGCAGCTCTGACCCTCCCTGCCGTGGCGGGCTCAAGGATCCATTTTAGACTGCCAATCAAAATGAACCGAGGTCATTTACATACTGCTCACTGGGGCCCCCCAAAACCCGTAGAACAGCGCTCCTTTGCGGCCACTGTGGGTACTGCACACAGGCAGCCTGCAAAATCTTTGGAGTATGAAATGAGATGGTGAAACAGCTACACACTTTTAAGTCATTAACTATGACCGGGTAATTAAATGATTGCACGCAAATTATTGATTGTAAAAATAAGCCTTCCTTCAAATGCTGACTCACTTTTACTTTATATTTCCTGAACTTTAAAACAAATACAGATAAAAATTAAACACTAATTGTGGCGTGTGCAGGTTTGTGTGTCCTACTCCATCAGTAAACCCCCTCTGGCAGATGTCACAACAGTTTCTGTAGCAGCTGTGAGGCTTTTTGGTTTCTTGATCCAGTTTTCCTGCAGATATTTTAGGTTGTGTTGTACATACAGGAGGTTTCAGATCTTGGCACAGGTCAGGCACTGAGTTTTTGTTATAGACAACCACATTTATTAAGTGAGTAACAGAAATTGCATCTTGTATATGCCAGTTTATCGTTTCGCCATTATTTATATAATTAAAACATGTTTAAATAATCTAATGACTGTGTAATGATGCCTCAAAGCAACTGCCTGATTTCAGCTCACATTTCAGGTTTTAGCACATCATTTACATTCATTTGTTATGCTATTTGTAGTTTATGCTCAAGTTTATTGTTTCACCCCAACACACAAAGGGACAAGAGTTCAACTGTAAATGTTACTATGTTATTCTACTAAGAAATGCCTAAGATTTGCCTTCTCAAATTTAGTTTTCCTTCTCATCATCTTTCTTTATACAATTTGCCTTCTCAAATTTAGTTTTCCTTTTAGTTTGATAAAAAAAAAGAAAGAATAGAAAATTTACTCAACAACTTCAGGTCTAAGCTTTTGCTATTCTGCAGCTACAAACTGGGTTCATGCTGTACATGCTCATTTCCTCACCATCTTGTACTGTAAAATGAACGTTTACTTTTAATTGAAAGGTTAAAAACTTACCAATTAAAAAGAATTAAATATATGAGAAAACATGCCAAAATTAATGGATTTCCAAAATTAAGGATAAAACAAACAAACTGACAAAATCAGTGTGTCAGTGGGCCTGGGTTGGAGCAGAGCAGGAGGAGGAAACGTGGCTCAAATGAGAGATAAAAATAAAAACCATGTCAGGACGAAACAAGGTTCAAGTACTTTATTACTTCTAAACACGCACCAGTTCCAACATTCATGGTTCGGTACAGAACAGAGTTTTCCACATCTAATTATTGCCTCAGCTGTTCTGTTTTTCTCTCTCCTGCCATTAGAAGCTTATTATCAGAATAGTTTTAGTTTGACAAACCAGGAAGTGTTTATCACTCAAACTGCCGCTGAACCAGCAAGTAATAGTAAAAACACCTAAAAAGCAAAATAAAAGCTCAGGTGTCAAAACTTACTAAAATAACCTTACCCAAGAAACAATAAGGAGCAAAGAAAACAAAACATATAATACTTATAATCATCCACACATTATCAGAGGAAACGGTCATCTCCAAACTAATGGAAAACAGCAACACATAAGCAACGGAGACTTTGTTACTTGGAGAACACCCTCAGTTGAAGGATACTGGCCCAGGACAACCGGTGTTAGAGCATGACTCTACAACAAAACCCAGTCATCCAAGGTATAGTTTTATCCCACAATAAAGTGACAAACGAGTCCTTACTGTCTTGCAGAACTCTGATTAAAACAGTCATTCATTATATTTTCATTTTGCTGGAAGATACCCTGGTGTTTCTGAAGGAGGTGGCTATATGGCTTTATTCAGACACCAAAAAACAAAGCTCCTCTGTGCTAAAATCCTGAAAGTCCAGAAGCTACTGTCTGTCAAGCTGCTTAAAGACACCCGTTGTTATATCTTTGCTCATGTCCATAAAAACTTTGTTCCAGGTGTCAGCTAGAGAAACAGCAGTCTTCAAACTGAGCGGTGTTCCCCTTTAATGCCTCCAGGAGGAGCTAACAGACCAATGAGCACTTGAGGTTCCAGTAAAGCCAGGAGGAGGAGGAAAGGTGGAGCAGATGGCGTGTGAGGAGGTTGTGGGTGAAATATTTGCTCTTTAATCATACTTGGTGTATCTCATGTCTCTTATGAGATCGATCCTTCGCCCTTGGGTCGACCGAGGACGTAGGACATTTTAAGTTTCTTATATTGGCTCCGAGGACTGAGGACGGTGCTGGAGGAGCCATGATGGAGGATACAGCATCCTTTGCTGAAGTTTTTTGTGGACTTTGTCAGAAACCAGTTACTGATTAGACGCTTTAGATGATGATAACGCGTTTCCTCCAGTCCTCTCTCCTCCCTGTTTTCCTTGCATCTTATGTGGGAGGGACTAACGCAAGTGAGGGACACGACGGTGCTTATAAGACACAGAGATGTACCCATCTACTCCAACTGCATCAGTCATGACAGTGGATAGGTAATCAGAAAACATCCTGATGTCTTGGCTCAGCCAGAAAGTGACATGTGAACAAACACACCCTTTACGCTGTATATGATTTGACTTGTGGCACGTTAAGTGATAAGGCAATGATGTTGATGAGTGGGAAGAGAAATAGTTAAAGGCATTTCCAGTGTTCTACTGTGGTAGCTGGATGTTTCAATACACACAGGTGAAGTCTGGCACTGAGGCAGCAGGAAAATTAAGGCATTTCTAGTTTATCAAACTAGAAATGCCTTAATAAAGCCACTTTAAATGCGATGTCTCAAAAGGACTGTTTTTTTTTTTTTTTAACTGCGAGTCCCACTTACAGTAGATCACAGAAGACAGCTGCTGGACTCCATCTCACTGGTCTACATGTGAATAAACTCTAAGCAATCTGAATCTTCTTCTACTGATCTGGAGCAAGTCCTGTTACAGTCACCACTCAGCGGGCAGTTTATTAGATATAATGCACAGTTTCAAAAAAAACTTCACATCAGCACCTTCATGGAGAAGGATTTATTAGAGGACTGCTGGGTTAGACTGACTTAGTCAGCTTCAAATAAACTGACAGAGCTTTCCCTGGGTTTTCAGAGGCCTTAGGTTGGGGACTTTGAAATTATTTGAAAAAAATTTAGAGTAATTTTAGTTTTTTTTCCATACTTGTGAAAGGAAATGCACAGAATCATCCCTGTATTCTTTTAGGCATAGCTTCATTCTGTTGTCTAAAGCAACAGCACTGTCAAGGTCCACGAATGCCACAGAACTGTTGAACCTGTGGTGTGTACTGCAGGGAATGTTGTTCAGCTGGGTCACGTCTCTACGTCAGCCTCCAAACTATTGGCTGGTAACAGTAGTTTGCACTGTTTCCTTCTAGATTACTAGGTGTTATTTTACCAGTGCAACACAATTTTAAATCAATCAAAGATTAATATTACACTGATTTTAGACCTGTATTTTACATCATGATGATGCAGACTGAACAATGTAATGGTTGGAGTTTGTCTGAGACCTTAAGTACATTGATCTGATCTTGTTTGACTGAAGTCAAATTCTTCAAAAGTTCCTCTGAGATCCACAGAAGTGTGTAGTTGTACAAACAGCGGGACAATGGAAGATGAGTTTACAGTGTGTTGCCAGAGAAAAACTTTTCTTACCCAAATTCATCAAGACCTGAAAACTGTCAAATTATTTCTCCAAACATTTCCAGATTTTCCAAACCTCTGTAGGAGGTGAGTTTTCATGTGAAATGTCATTATATATCACATCATCATCTGCAGCGCTGTTTACTGGCAACACTTCACACGTTTAAACAACTATTAAGATTTGTATAACAGTAGGAACGGTTTGAAAAAGTAGTTGCCAGTTTCAGTTGTGGCCGTGACTCTATCCACTCTTTGCATCTTTAAGGTATTGAGGTTCAAATTTCTCTACTGATCAACCTGCCTCCTTCTATTAATAAAACCCCATTTCCTAGCTGTGAGGACTGTTGTTGATGTGCGTTAGTCATGTTATAGTGACACATCTCTATGACGAAAATAAAGCCTGTCTGTTCCCACACCACACATTAAGTCACTATGGCTGAAGGCACTGTTTAAACATGTGTCTGCCTCATCCACCTTCACACCCTCGCATCCCCTCTGTGCTCCCTCCCTCTGATCCCATCTGGGTTAATCTCTTCCCCGTCCACCTCCACTTCCACTTCCTCTTCCTCTTGTGGCGTCTATAGCAGGACACAGCGCTTCTTGGGTTTGTTGTCCGGAGGCTCCAGCGCTGCCAGGATGGCCTCATCAAAGACATTCTTCAGTCCCCTCTGAGAAAGAGACGAAAAACACAGATAAGCTACTTTGCCAGTTGTTATTGTATTGTATTGTTGTTGTTGTGGGGGACTCAAAAGCTGTTGATGAAATTCCATATTTATCAGACAAGTGAAAAAGCATAAACTGTGATTTAATCACTTCTAAATACTGTCTTTATTTCCTGTACCGTTGCAACACACATCAAGCAAAGATGACTGTAAAGGTGTTAGACCAAATTAACATAAACACAGGTCAGTGATTGGCTATACTGACATTTATAACCAGTGACTGGTGAAGAGTTAGTGTGTGAACCTCCAACCAATCGCACAGACTTATGTCATTGCTTTCAGGCAGAGCTATTTACACGTTTTTGAAAATCAGAGTTTCAGGTGTCAAAAGCACCGCCTTAGTGGCCAGACTGAAGACTCAGGGGGGGTTGTTTGGTGTGTTATTTCTGATACCAATGAGATGATGAAATGTGAAACAGGAAGTCCAGCTCAAGTAACAGATCCCTAAGTTTCAAGGTTTATCGGGCGCCTAAAACACTGCAATGCAGTATAGATTATGTGGATGTTGTCTCACTGAAGACATTTCAAGGGCTGCAGTTTCTCATGCAGTGTCTGTCTGAACATTGCCATTTATAGTGACTAGGGCTGTACTCGACTAAGGGTTTTTCCAGTCGGCTCTTCAGCACAATTATTGGTTCTTTTTTTTTGAAGTGGGTATTTCTCCCCCGACCACTGGGGGAAGCACTAGGCAAACTGCTGCTTGACACACCAACATGAGAAGAAGTTGACAAACTAACAGAGGCTGGGGCTGCCTTCTACTGTAATGCACACTAGCTGAAAAAAATTAAATAAAATGAAAACACAGGCTCGACTAGAAGAGTCTCAGTCGACTGACAGGTCTCAACTAATGATTCGACTAGTTGACTTTCTGTGGCAGCCTTAATAGCGACTGTTTCTCATTATGTAAACATCATAATTTACACAAGCATTTTATGACATCATCCCTCTACATGTACCTGTGTAAGAGCTGAACACTCCACATATTTGACAGCTTTGAGCTCTCGAGCCAGTTTCTCTCCGCTCTCACAGGTCAGGGCTCGCTGCTTGTTTTTGGCCAGTTTCTCCAGAGTGTTGCTGTCGTCTCTCAGATCCACCTGAGTCCCAACCAGCAGGAAGGGCGTCCGTGGGCAGTGGTGTGAAATCTCTGGCACCCACTGTTAGGGGACAAGGTCAAAGGATAAGGATAATCACCTTTATTGGCCAAGTATGTTACACACAAGGAATCTGTTTCCGGTACAGAACCGAGGCAGCCATCTGCGGAGCCAACTCAATCAATGGCTCTAACCATCGGGGGCAATAGGGGGGTTTCAGTGTCTTGCCCAAGGACACGTCGACATGTGGACTGGAGGCACCGAGATTCGAACCTTCAACCTTCCAGTTGGGAGACGACTGCTCTACCCACCGCACCACTGTCGCCTCAACAGCTGCTTGGTTTTGTTTAGCATATTTTTAGCTTTTGTCCATGGAAACGCTAGGCTTGTCAGCAGTTTCAACACACCACCCTTTAGTCCCCAGCTATCTTTGCTAAACTTAATAAAAATCAAAGTTATCTGTGCCTCACAAAGAAATCTCTTTTCAGTCTGGCTGGTTGAATAATTTGTTGTAAAGCAAATCGTCTAACACAGGAGACAGTGTGCAGTGATTAGTATCAAACATATGAAAGCGAGAAGGCAAACCTTAAAAATAAATCTAAATCTGAAGAACTGAGGAGCTAAGAATTGAATAAATCAAACAAGACAGTGGTTTTGGAGAGAAAACAACATACAAGTGTATCAATCTACCTTTAAACCTCAATCAGCAAACACAGGCAGAGACCAACTACACAAACCTTCTCCCTGACGTTCTCAAAGGAGGAGGGCGATACAACAGAGAAACAGACGAGGAAGACATCCGTCTGAGGGTAGCTGAGGGGTCGCAGTCTGTCGTAGTCTTCCTGACCTGCAAGGACACACACACACAGACACAAATCCGTTAACACAAAACACTGAACAAACTGTAGCAGGTATTTCTAAGACACAGCCACAGCCCTCTACAGCTGCAACAACAACAACATCCTGACAGTACCTCAACAAACGCTGCTGCACTGTGCGCTGCTGTCACTACACCTGCTCCTGTTGCTACAACTGTCAACAATACCTCATAAAATGTTTTTACCTGCAGTGTCAAACAGTCCCAGAGTGTACGGCTCCCCACCGATCATCACTGTTACTGCATAGTTATCAAACACCTGTGAGAAAGGGTGAGAAGAGAGGAAGATGGAGAGCATGCAGGGAGGAGAAAACAGGAAGTACAGCTGTGAAAAGACATAGTTTCAGGAATTCCTCAAAACAAAACAGGAAGCACCCTTCTTAAGAGGCTTGTGAGGTTCAAACAAAACACACACCTTCTGTGCTTCATTTGTGAGGACACCCCCCACAATGGATTCAACAGCCTATAACCATAAATTGGAGCTAAACTCAATTTTATAACCAAACACGCTTTTGAAGAAACGAGGACCAACATATTCAGATATTCACAGTAGCTGTTTTCTGCCTGACAGGGGAGAGTTTGTTCAGATTGTCCCTATCCAGCCAGCGGTGAGTGACATAACCATCCTGCCATTGTCGCTGTCAGTCGTCACAGAGGCTGCTGGAAACAAACTGAATGCTCTCAGCTGAGGGAGGACTGCTGTGCTGCTGTCGAGCCAAACAGACTCCTGTCTCTCAGTTCACTCCTCCCTCCTGATTCACCACTCTCGTACCTTCAGGCCACTGGTATGTGCAATACCTCAGCAGGGTGAGTGTGGAGGTGAGCAGGGAGTGTTTTACAGTCACTGCGCCTGCTTTAAGACACAGCACGCTTTCAGCAGGTCGACCTGCTGCAGTCTGCTGTCGCCCGCACACGCTGTTCGGTTTTAACAAAGCTCTGTACACAGACAGGTTCCAGATAAACTACAGGATGTAGCCTGTATAGCTCTGATGTGGTAGTTGCACTTTGCTTTTCCACTCCATTTTCCATGTCTGTAGCTTCCTCGCTCACTCACTCGTGTGTGAAAGAGAAACTCTGGACAATGTACGCACTTATGTGTGCTGGATGTCACTTTAATGTCAGCCATGATCAGGCTGCAGCAGTACATAAAATGTGCCAGCTGATGCATTTGTGTTATTAATCACACTCACCGTGGGGACGTATTCAGACGGAAACTTGTTGGTGGTGTAGGAAATGAGCAGACAAGTCTTTCCCACTGCACCGTCACCCACCACCACACACTTTATGGTCTGCATCTGGAGAGGAGGAAGGGAGGGTGAGAAGGTAAAGTGGGGAGGTCAGGGAGAGAGAAATCGCTGGTTATCAACAAAACCAAGACGACAATCCACAACCTTTTGACCGAAAAGTTGACTTGATTAGGTCAAGAGACAAAACTTGCCCACAGCTAGGGCTGGTGTCCAACTTCATTACTGAGTGGAAAATGTGCAGCTGCACATCTTCTCACCAAGACTAAACATAGAAAACACATTGCTCCTATTTTAAAGGTCATTAAGTGGCTTCCTATTCATTTTAGACAGGGATGAACATTTCAAGCAGTTTCCTTCATCGACAGTTGGTCACATTAGCGATCAATAATCCATTAATTGTGAACAATTTATAAAATACATTCTTCCATAATAAAACCATTTAAATTACTGATGGGATCCATGTTGTAAAATCTGAGTAGAATGGGATTTAAAGAACAGATGAAGTAAAACATCAGGTTACTTTAGTCACAAACACAAAATAATGACTTTAAAACTGTAGAGCCTCCACTTTTGTCTGTCACTATTCAAGACTGGCCTTTCAGTATCCAGTGCTGGTGTTATATAAAGACAATACACATACTTTATGACATAATGGCTTGTGTATTGTTCACTGTAACTAGGAAAGCTACTGGAAATACCTGCTCAGCTGGTGACCTACACAAGTCCCGGGGTGCATAAATACTGTTGCTAACTTCATTAGTCCAGGAAATCTTTCAGCCTTTACTGCTACTGGTAAAATGCATCTGTACTCAGAGCAGGGCAGTGTCACTTTCATGTTGATTGTGCTGGAAACATGTTTAATTTGAGTAATGTGTGACCTCCATGTTAGCAGCGTCATTACAGAGGCGCTCTCTGACACACAGCTCCCCACCTGCGTTAACTTTAGGAACAACTTAACAACCGTAGCCTGCAGACAACAAGAAAGGTTCCTGCCCTTCACTTCCTTGTCATGTCTGTTTCAGTTGCAAGTAAACAACCTGCAGGCTTCTGTCTGTATCTAGTGGCAGGTCGATTGGGATGTCATGAGAGTCAGTAATCAAACCGCTGATGGAATCAGTGGTAGCTGTGTACCACAGTGTTTACTCCACATGGCCTGGAGATCCTGTGACTACCCATATGCTTGAGCAGCTCACATACTCAGGCTGGGCACAGTGGTAAAGAGGTAAGGGCTATCACTTCATCACTGGCTCTTTGTTAGGGCCATTTGGCAGTGGCAGCTCACCTCTGACAAGTCAGGGACAAGTGAATGAGTCATCTGCAGTTCACAAATCCTGTCTGAATCATTCATTCCTCAGAAATAGTTCACATACATGTTCTGGAAAATGCAGTGATTACTGACACCCACGTTTCTCAAATAACTATTGTTACTGGTACACACAATGATCTGCATGACGTTTTACATTCCCCGGCTGTCAGACAAGCAGCAGCTGCTGATTTTCATTACTGCTCTAACTACTTTAATCAGCGAGCTGCTCTTTAACTGGACAAGGGCTCCTTTTTAAAACAGGACAACTACTTTTTAACTATATGAAGTTTGATGTTTTACAGAAGCACTCAGTAAAGCTATAAAAATCACAAAGACTAGCTGATTAATCTGTGCAATGACAGAAAAGTAACCACCGATAAATACGGTAATTGTTCAGTCATTTTCAGCTTCTCAAATGAGAATTTACTGCTTCTTCTGTCTAATTTCATAGAGAAAATTATTAATCAGTTACTCATGAATACAGCAGCTGTAGCAGATTAAACAATAGTGACATTCTTTCTGCTGTAACTCATGAAGACTGTGAAGACCTAAAACCCAAAAATATTTAGTTTACTGTCTATTTATCTTTTGACCAAGAGTCCAAAAACCAAAATTGTTATCCACGATATCCACTAATTTTAGCCCAGTATGGCTGCATTTCAGTCACTTCCGCACTGTGGCCATAACTACAACATGATTAGCTAAGTCTTTATTGCATTTCTGTGGACTGACTCAACATTGATTATGAAAACAGAAAGTGAATCTTCATAAAGTGAAAAACGTGGCACTTTTGAGTTTATACTCGATAAAAAATAATAATCAAATTATCAAAATTGGAATGAATTAATTTTCTATAGTTTACTGCTACTTTGTTTGCTACCAATTTACTGTACATCACATAAACAACGTTAACAGTCCCTCAAAAACCCAGATTTATTTATTTATTTGTTGTTTCTCAGATACAAATCATGCGATATCCACTAATTTTAGCCCAGTATGGCTGCATTTCAGTCACTTCCGCACTGTGGCCATAACTAAAACATGATTAGCTAAGTCTTTATTGCAGGGCGAATTGTAAGTCTGTACAGATTTAAAGATGAAATAATAATTTTACTTCTTGCTGATGGTATTTAAGAACAACTAAAAGTTTAACTCCTACGAAGCTGGCGAGCATTAGCAACGTTAGCTCGGTAGCTAATCTAAAGTTACATCCGCCAGACATCCACCCACAACAAAGTCATTGTTTACAATGACTTAATAATACATATAACAACAAAACAACACTTATGAGAACTACATATATGTTGGGTCAAGGAGATTTAGCCATATACAGCAGTTGTTCTGGTTTGCCAAAGAAAACACAGAATAAAATGAAAAGTCAAATCACACCGGTAACTTTAAGCGGAGCTTTCACAGCCACGCTAGCCTAAAGTTTGCTAAAGGAAATAGTTTGTTTTGACAACTGCCAGTTAGCACAACTAGTTGTCAGGCGGCTAACAGTCACAGCCTGTACAATAAAAAGAGCCACTCTAAAGTATATGCGTTTCAGTGCTGGTATTTCAGTATTTCCAGTTAAAAATCAGGTAGAGCTCCTACCTTCTCTGTCAACAGCCTCAGGACTGCGGGGAATGTTGTGCTACGATCAGGTGCTTCCTGGAAACTCCCATTTCCCCCATGCGGAAGTCGGAAATATGACGTCATATGTTCATGTTCCGCTGTGTTTATTGTTGTTATTCTATGTCATGTTTTTGCATTTCCATAACATGATTCAAGTTATTTTCTCTGATCTAATCCATAACATGATATATGATTCAAGTTATTTTCTCTGATCTAAGGACAAATAATTTCACCTTGCAACATCTTAATATAATTCAGACATGCTATTAATTCCATTTTAAATTTGTTCCTTTAGTCTCCACTGATTGTTTCTTCTTTTTGTCTACATTTTTGTTAAAATGTAGCTCCGTATTTATCAGTTATCAATAAAGTAAAAACATTTGATTAATGCCTTATAATGCACTGTTGGTGTGAGTAGATAAGTGTTTGTTAATATATTGGTAAAAAACCATAATTCCTCCATGCATGAGTTGAGGCAGGTTTATAAATTCATAATGAATGACAATATTGCAAAGCAAAGTTGTATTAATATAAAATGTCTTCATAGAATAAGACTTTATATGCGCTATAAGAGCAAACATCATTTACAGTTTTGTCATAATCATCCTGACTCAGTGTCCACTGAGGACCCTAGACTGAAAGATGGGCTGATTTCTCAGTGACCACCAGAGGGTGATGAAGCACACTGTGATTTTTTAGGCTTGCTGTGGGTTGATCCCTGTGAGGTGCACCAGTCAGTGTCCAAATAAAAGTATCTCTGTTCATATATCTGGAGTTTTCAGGTCTCAGGTTCAGTCCTCAGAGCTGTGGAAGTGTAAAAAGTAATGTTTTGCCACTGCAGGCCTGAGCCTGCAATGGCCTTTGAAAGGGATGTAAGTGTTTGTTGCTGGCCTGGCCAGTGCTAATGTGCTGTAGGTGGAGGGCAAGCTCACTGAGGCAAAGCCCAGTAGACCTTCATTGGTAACGCAGCAGAAAATGAGATAATTACAATGCAAGGCACTTCTCCATGACTCTCACTAGCACTTCAGCACACTCTGATGTCCTCACTGCACTTTCCTTCCATCTTCTTCTCTTGGTTGCTTTCTCCTGGTTTCTCTTCTCTGTCCTCTCTCTCACCCTGTCTTCATCTCTCTCTCTCTCTCTCTCTGTGTGTCTCTATCAGTCACTCAGCGTTGACTAGCCAGGGGATAGATGTCAAGGACGCTGTGCTGCTTGTCTCCCAAAGATAATCCCATTAAACTCAGCAATTTAATTATAGATTATCTCACAGGTTGACACACAGACACACACACACACACACACACACAGACACACACACACACACACACAGAAGTACTTATGAACCTGTGTGTGCTCACAAGAGCCCACACATGCACAAAAATACACAAACTAGAACACGAGGATAACACTCACCAATGCAGAGACATTTTATCGTAGATAACTGCAACACACGACGTAGTCGCGCAAGATGAATACACAGTGGCTCCACCCTGTTGCCCTGTCATTCTGTGTCAGCGTCATCCTCCAGTTGGCATTAACAACTTCACCAGTCTGTTTTTAGAACAGCAGGGACACAGTGCAAGATGACTGTAGAACAACTAAATTTTTATTATTAATGTACCTTTGTTGGTGAAAAATTAATTACTGGGGGCCGAGACTCAGTGAGATGTCCATTTGTGGACTCTGTGATGATTTAAAAAATATAAAATCAGTATTGTTGGTCATGATAAACTCTGAGCAGATAAAAAAAACCTCCTAGCAAGGGAACCTAAATGAAATGATCAGAACACTGCCACTCAGTACTACCAGCAGCTGTTTACTGCAAACTGTGGCAAACAGCCCATTTACTCGCCCTGGTGTTATACTTTGTAAACCTACAAAGACACACAAAATACACTAGTAAATATGTGAACAAAGTAAGTAAAGCCAGAAGCAAGTAGCTCACCTGAGTTGGCCAGGTGTTACTGCTAAAGGGCACAGCAAGCATCACTGTCCATCATAAGAGTGTGGCAAATCAGAATAAGAATGCTGGCAGCTAAAGCACAGCTTTCCAAGAGAAATCTGCTTTGTTTTCACTGCTGGTGTGGTTAAACGCTCACACACAGAGCATCATCATGTCTGAGTGTGGTGAAGCAGGGTGGATAATTTAAGTGTACATACATCTACTGAGCCCCACTGCAGCACCAGAGAAAGACAGGGACCCACAGCGAGGGAGAGAACCAGCCCTCCCTTCATCTATTTTTACCTCCTCTGTGGGGCGATGAGCCTCTGCACATTGTTCTTATCCCTTCATCCCACCCCTCCATCCATCTCCTCCTTTTTAATTAACCCTCCTCTTGTCCTCCTCTTCCTCTCTCCATCTCCCTCTGAGTCATCTCCCCTCCCCCCTCTGTCACACATCTCACCCCCTCCCGTTTTCCTCTCCCTCTCCTTCGCTCTGCTTCTCCAGTATTTTCTCAGTCGCCGTGAAAGGCAGAGCACGCACAGGCGGCAGGTAAAGGCAGGAAATCCTCTCTTCCTCTTTTCATCCATTAAGAGGTTTTATGTTTTTCAGTTCAGTGTGTTTCTTTGCTGATCTCACAGTGACTGGCTGCTGCTCAGTGCAGAGTGGGTGCAGAGGGATGCTACTGGGGTGTGATAGCTGTGCTCTGCTTCTGGGGGTTACTGTGTGTTTGTGTGTGTGAATCTGCTTCATGCTTTTTCTCTAATTTCTTGGAAGATGGTTGTTGAGTGTGTGTATATGTGTGTGTGTAAAAACACAGAAGAACATATGTGTGTGTGTGTGTGCACATACAGTACGTGTGTATGTGTCAGTGTTAATGTGAGCGCACTACTGTGTGTGTGTTAAATGTGTGTGTGCGGCCTTCTCAGTGAAATTTTAGTTTGAAACCATCATTGTGAGGTTGTTTCTGCAGGTCGTCACAACTTCAGCGGGCTAACAATTGGTTTTAAGGTTTGGGTTCATTTAGTTTCGGGGGAAGAGGTGTGTGTGTTTATGTGTGTGAGGGATCATGCAGTCAAGTCCTTGATATATCAAGTGTGTTTGCTAATGTGTTACATGGTGGGCACAGGAATATGTGTGTGTGATTTTGCTGCCTGTATTTTCTATGATTTGTTGTAAAATGGCTGTCGTGTGTGTTTGTTATATTTGTCTTGGCTGCAGGAATTTCATGAGAGTGTGTGTGTGTGTGATGGGATCCTGCGGTTGAGTTCTTGGTCAAGTGTGTGTGTGGTGGATGGTCGATATCTTTTGATATGGCAAGCACTAGAGTGTGTGTTTGTGTGTGTGTGTGTGTGAGAGAGAGAGAGAGAGAGAGAGATAGAGGTGCTTCAAGTGTGTGCGTTTGTGTGAATTTGATAAATGTATTTTTAATGATTTGTTGGAAAATGGCTGGAACATGTGTGTGTTTGAAATGAGAAAGAAGAGTGTTCTTCATCTACTGTTTATAAGTGTTTTATTTGTACAATGCTACACTATTGTCAGGTCCTAGGTATATCAAATGTATGTGAGTGTGCTGGATGGATAAATGTGTGCATGTTTGATATCTGCATCTTTGGCACACTGTGCATGTGTGGGTGGATGTGAAGTGTGTGTGTGTGTGTGTGTGTGCGAGTGCTTGTGATAAGTGTGAGTTGAAGCTAGATGTGTGTAAATCTGGACATATTATTAGTGTTACATATGTGTTAGACTGCTCCACTTCCTGTGTGTGTATGTGTGTGTGTGTGTGTCTGGCGTATTGTGATGATCAGCCTTCTGTTTCCCCTCTCCCTCCTCCCTCACTTCATCCCTCCATTTCTCCACTCTTCTCCACCCAAGCCAGGTCATTTAATTATTTATCTCTCTCTCTCTCCTTCTCCTCTCTCTTGCCCTGCCTCGTCCTCCATTACTCCCTCTTTTTTACAAACTATATTTATTTTTTAAATCATCTTTTATCCCACTTTCTTTCTGTCTGTATGTCTTTATCTTAATTTCAGTCTTCTGCCAGAAACTCTTCCTCCGTCCTGAAGCCGTTTCACCTCTCTCTCCCTTTTTTACTAGCACTGGGTCAGAAAGAACATTTTTATGGGACAATCAGATTTTGCTTGGTTGCCTTTAGTGTTGGCAGGTGGACATTTGAGATATTTTGAGATATTTATTTCAGGCTTGGACATGTGAATGTCCTATAAGTTTTTCTGCAGGCAGCGTCAGATGACTGACAGGGATGCACTCAAATCTCAGCTGGAAATTAAACTCTGGGTTTGCAAACTTAAGCTGTTCAATATTGTAGAAGGAAAACAAAACTGAGGCTTCTTTTAATTCTTGTGTGGAACAAAAACAATTTTAAGATCCTAACATAATTTATTTTGAAGAACTGGGTCTTCAGTGATGTAACTGAATTCATGTTAACTGAAATAAAATCGGAGCTTAATGAAAATGCTAATTTCATTTCATTCTCTTCATTTATGACATTTTCCTAAACCTTTCTCCTCCCTCTCCCCATAGTGGACTACATTATATTTAGATGTGTCCTCCCCAGCTACATACATAAGAAGGTCAGAATAATAGGAACACTTCTGAGTATAATGCAGTCCAGTAACTATGACCTCAATAATAAACATATAATTGAATTTATGCATTTATGGAAATTTCACCAAAAGCCGAAACATTTTGAGCTTCATAAAAACAGATGTTAAGATGGAAGCGTTGCATACAATTGGATAGGTGTGCCTAATAAAGTGGCCGGTGAGTGTATATTCTGCTTCCTGTTCTCTGTCCTTGCGCTGGCTCTCTCTCTCCCTCCCTCACGTCCTCCATGGCTAACCTGCTCATGCACTGTTTTTCAGTGCTGGTGTATTTTGTGCTGAGCACTGCAGTCTCTGGTAGGTGTGGTGTGATCCTGGGTGTCCTCCCTCTGCTGCTGCTGCTGTAGAGCTTACATAACACACAGCAACGTGCACAAACAGCACTGGCTGAAAGACAGACAGAGATAGAGAACTAGAAGGATGGAGAGAAGAGTTATGAGTGCAATGAGGTGGTGACAGGTTGGGCAAGCAGAGCATATGTTTATGGATATGAAATGAAGGTGTCATACTTAGAAACATGGAAAGCAAGACTAGAATTGAAATAGCTTGTTATTAAAGGGGGAACAAAGATTTTACTGCTCCATTGCATGAAAGTGGAACATTATGTTCAAGCTTAAAAGTGCTTTAAACCCAAGCTTGTTTTCACGAGAGGTTTATATTTATTATATCTAAAAGTTAAAGTACGGAACAGTATCAATCACTATAAGATGCTTTTAATAGAAAGGGAGTGAAAATGGATCAACAAGACATTTATAAACTCTTTCTGTGGCACAAGAAAACAGCACCTGTGTTTGAAACATTATGTTCTAGGAGGTTTTAAATGATAATAGTTTTTAACGTAATGACACAGTAAGCTCACATTTTATCAGAATTTTTCAAGCTTGCAGACTCGGTTGCATAAAATTTCCAAAAACCTTATTTGATCCCACCAAAATGATCAAAAACTAAATGAAGTCAATGTTATGATAACGTTTTCCTACAATAAATATACAAATTAGTGACATTTACTTTAATATTAAGAAAACCTTACTGAAGGGTGTGATGGGGGGTTGCTGTAATATTACATACAAGGGCCTGTTTATGTTTCAACAATGTGCTGTCCAACCATGCCAGACATTTTAAGTGTGTATTGTTGTTACAAAGCAAACCCTATAGCTAAGGCTCCCATAACTGTCCTTAACTGTACTTTGTAATTAGCACATTTTTACATGACAACAAACAGAACGAGGTGATATTAGCAAATACTATCTGGTAAACATTGACATGTTGTCACTGTGACTACAGAGTTTCTTCATGTTAGGGCATAAATATTAGTGAATACGTGTTGGCGCATGGTCAAAAGGCTTGTAGTGACACTGTGAAGAAGGAACCAGAGAATTTCTGATGCAGGTGTGTTGTGTACTGCTGCTCAGGAGGGAAAACTGCAGTACTGCAGGGTGGGGCTTCAAAACAGCATCAAATAGAGAGAAAAAACTACAATTTAAAGAGGTCAGGAGAGAAACCCCCGCACACCACCCTCCCCATGACTCTGAGTGTGTAGAGATTTCTGTAGGCTGCAGGCGAGTCAGGCACCATATCTGCTTTTTATTAGGCTGAACACATTTTTACATTTTGCTGACACTTTAACTCAGTGCGACTTACTACTAGTGTAAGAACTCACTGAGCATAAAGTTGTACATTGATGTTGTTATCGACCTGCAGTGAAAAGGTGCAGGGTTCAGAGCTGCTTTGCACCTGGATGAAAATATTCCTGAGGCGCTCAGAAGCGTCACGCACTGTGTGATAGAGCCAGTGCCAGAGTCTGAGGGCGGAAGAGGAGACAGGAGGGGGAGTGAGACCTTTGCAGCAGGTTATAAGCAACACACAGGTGAATTTATGTCCCAGTGGAAGAGAAGAAAGGCGACTGAGAGTCTAGCAAATGTGTAGTGATTAATGTCTCCAGGAAAGTTTTACATAAACAGAATGCGTTTGCTGAGTCAGGTAAACCTCAGAGAGGGAAGAGGATGACAAAAAGGCACAGTTTAGACAGAGAGTGACTTTAAAACTACTAACCACAACTAGAATATCACTAGTCTCTGATGACATAAACGCTGTTTCACTATGCATAAATATGCATCTATCTACAGTGTTAGTCAGATTACAGCATGGCCCTGACAGAGGTGGAGAGGTTACACAACAAAATGTCTAACTATACAAGTTTGTGTTATTCACATAAGACAATGTACAGGATTTTAAAGGGGTTGAAGCTTTTAGGAACAAAAAAACACAAAGAAGAGTTAGAATAGGTTAGAAAATACAGTACAGGAAAGACTGGCCAGCATCTGGGAGTTACATGAACAGTCCACAACAGCAGGTACAAAGCTACACTTCAGGGGGAAAGTTTCAAGAACAGATCAGTAAATCTCTTCATGCACGATACTGCCACGGTCACGCCCTCCTGGCAAACACCGCGTCTGCAGAATCAGCTGCGGGTGAAACGAAAGAAAAGCAGGTTAGGGACACGTTTTCAAAGTCAATTTAATAAAATCGGAATATTTTACGAACATACACTAACATTAACTAACCTGTGTCTGTAAGGAAACTACATGTCCAAGACCACTGACTGTCACCTTGGTTGCGTTGTCAAAGCTTGCCATTTTGTATGAGCACTCTCACCTTTTTGGTCTGGTTTGCCTCTCACTGTTGGTGAGGAGGGTTTTCAAAGTGACATCAGTACAATCCCTTTAATGTGTGCTCTGGCTTACTTGCACAAATGAATGGAACTGAGTCATCGTCAATGTAGTGATTTACATCTGCACTTCTTGCTGGTAACTTCAATTGTCTGTGTAAGGAAGCAATATACTGTATCACTGCACCCTGGAAAAAGCAAATCTCACCTTAGATACTATCCTCTAGGACACAGTAAGAACAGAAGGGAGTGGACACAGCCCTTTCTTTTAATATCGATCTCCCTGTGCATTTGGAAATGACAACTTGATCACAGTGTTCGGTTTCTGCAAGCTAGCAGTGGGCCAGATTTAGCTCCTCACAGATCGATAAAGTATTCATATGGAACAGGGACGAGAGCCTTTTTGACACATCGTTGCAGTGCTGTGTGCCTGGAATATCAATGACGAGAAAGAGGGAAACACCCATAAAGTAGATTAGCATTTATGATAGTGAGATGACAGTGAAGACAGCACCGCTAAAGCTTCGGAGTCTGGGCCTGTGTAGTTTAATGATATCACAGTGATAGACAAATTTAATATGCATCATCAGACAGGATTAATACATATAGATGATCTTGTGACATTGGGAAGTTCAGTGTCTCACGGTAAGAAACGGCTCCATTCCTGTTGTACATTAGACGCGAATGGGAGAACAAACTGCACAGTGAAATGAGTTTGTTTAGTACAGAAGCCAACATACAAACCTAATTTCACAGCAAAAATCATCTCAAGGCACTTTTCATAGTAAGGGCAAGACCTTACAGTATTATAGGGAAAACCCCTTGAGCAGCACTCGGTGACAGTGGGGAGGAAAAACTCCCTGTTACGGAAGAAACCTCCGACAGACCCCAGCTCTTGGTGGGCGGCCTTCTGCCTCGACCGGTTGGGGTGAGTGGATAGAGGAGAGAGAAAAGACGAAAAGCAGCAAGACACAACATACAATCAAACATTGGGCAGGTTGATGTGGCCGGTGACTGCTCATCAGAAACATAGAGCTCCAGAGCAGGGCTATCTACAGAAAGGTACAAGGAGAGAGAGAGAGAGAGAGGACACACTACGGGAGAGAGGAGACACACAGGTAGTGATGTGTAATGGTGGCATATAGATGGATGGAGAGAAGAGAGGAGAGGAGAGGAGCCAGTTAAGATTCACAAACTGGGTTGTACCATCAAAATTTAAGTAATGTCTGAAGTGACATGAAAAGATGAAAAACTAAAAAAAAAAACAGTTAAGATTCATAAAATGTGGACAAAGCGACTTTTGGAAAAGCCCAGTCTCAGAGAGGTCTGAACTGAGAGGATACATCATTGTTAAGAAGAAGAGAGACCAGAAAGACAAAAAGTCAGATTTGACCATTGAAGTGCAGCTTGTGATCATGCGAAACTGTCTGAAGGTGCCAAACAATCCTCTGTGATTTTAATGCTCTTGTGATTGAGCTGTTTTTCAAAGAGTCGACTGGCACCTAGAGATGCATCTTTCCTGCATTAGTGCTGCAAGATTTTCCATTCGGTCTCTTGAGGGAGATGAGAAGCAACAGAAATATCAACAGTGGTGGAAAGGAGGATCTGCAGTGAGCAGCAGAGGGCTCAGACTAATCGCTCAAACTGACGCTACACTTTGTTGCTGAAGATTGTTTTATTGCAGTCTGCCTCCAGAAACTGCAAAATAACTGAAGTGTCTCTGTGTGTGTGTGTGTGTGTGTGTGTGAAACAAACCAGTCCTCTGTGGTGAGCTTTAATTTTCAGCGAATCTGATTTGTCTCCTTCTGGCAGGTTGTTGTTGTCGTGGTTCTCTGTGTGTGTGTGCTATGTAAAAATAAATGCTTTCACCCATGAGGTCTCTGTTATCTCTCTCCATTTTTTCAATTCACTCTGAAGCTGATTTAACAGATACAACTATTAAGATTGACCAGATTTCCAAAAGAGCTCACACTTTCCCTCTCTCTGTCTCTCAGGATGTCGATCGTCAGCATTGTTGCCAGGGAGATCTTGGACTCCCGGGGAAACCCCACCGTGGAAGTGGACCTCCGCACAGAGAAAGGTGACCGATGACAAGCCTGTCTGAAAATATCAGAGGGGAAAAACAACAACAACAAAAAAAACCACACCATAATCTTCAACACAAAGACGTCTGCTCAGATTTATCATGCCAAGTGTTAAGAAAGCCGAGCATCAGTAAATGGTTTCTGACATTAGATGACCTTCATATGACCTCTGTCCAGGTCGATCAGTTCTCAGTTATTTAGGGAGAATGAGCTTAGGGTCATCATGTATACAGTGTAAGCATGGTGATACAAACCCACTGAGTGGGAGGCAAGGTTCGTAAGGTTAAAACGGAAAACAGCTATTTCAGATGGGTGTAAAGTATCTCTGCTGAGTGAGCTCGGCCATTGATGCAATAAAAACTGTTGTTTACATCAGAATGAACATCAAACATGACTAAACACAACAAATGTGAATATTAAAAAGAAACACATACTTGTAGTTGGACTAATTTTCAGTGTACTGGTGCAATGCATACATACAGTGCAGTTGAGAGTGGAGAAATGTGTGTCTCTCAGGTCTGTTCAGGGCTGCAGTGCCCAGCGGAGCGTCCACAGGAATCTACGAAGCTCTGGAGCTGCGAGACGGAGACAAGAGCCGCTACAAGGGCAAAGGTGCAACAACAGATCAACTGACAGTGCATGTGGATTTGCATTCTTCAAAAGCTTAAAGCCACATTGAACAAATTTGTAACACAAAAAGAGGGAAGAATGATTTGAAAATATACTCACAGAGTTCGTCCTCTGTCAGCTGGGCTCTATTTCTTCTACTGGTGTGTGTATTATCATTCATCAACTACAGCTCCTGTGATACTTTACCAGCTAAGGGGCTGTTGGATATTATCCTATTTATTCTTTCTTGGTTAAAATAATAAAATTTCAGTTCATTAAAACTTTTCCTGTCCAACACTGTAAAACTGCTGCTGGAGCTTTTCAAGCAGTTTCACATGTGACCAAAAGGCCAAAACATAGCGTTAACCAGAGCTAAAAGAGCTGACTTAAATTTCACACATACACTCTGAAACACATGACAAACTGGTCTTTGATCCTTCAAGTTTCCTGAATCTGTCTGTCTCTTTTCTCCCTGCTCTGCTTTAGGTGTTCTGAAGGCAGTCGGCCACATCAATGATACGCTGGGTCCTGCTCTTATAGCCTCTGTAAGTCATCAAAACAGCAATACATTTTATCACACTGCGTTTAAAGTGGTGGCCCTAAAGGTTAGAGGCATGAACTTGTGAATAGAGGGTCACCAGTTCAGTCCCTGGACTGGCAGAGTCAGATCTGGGTGGGACAGGTGACAAAGCAGAGTTTGCCCCACCCTCATTAAGGGGCCCTTCACTCCAACCGCTCCAGTAGAGCTGCTCAGTGGCCACAGGTCAGACTGGGGTTGTACTGGGCAGCTTCCAGGTGCGAATGTGAACATGGTGTCCCTGTAGCACAGAGGCAGGCTCTCAGTGGACCTACCCTGAATAAATAACAGTTAAAAACAAACAAACAAAGGAATTTAGTGCCTCATTATCCACTGGATACTGTACTGTGGCTAAAACAGAGATATGTTGGTTCAACAATCTTTATCTTCAGGCTCCAGTAACTGACTAACAAGGAGGGATAATGTGGGACAGGCTTCAGGCTTCCTGTTAGAAACCTGTGGGTGACATCTGGGATGTCGTTTCACAGTCAGACTGAATCAGTCTTGGCAGGTAGTGAAGCTGAAAATGTCCAGCTCGGACTGAGCAAAATGACCCGGTAGAGCAGGTGGCAGCCTGAGTCAATGTGCAGATGACCACCACATCTGGATGGGCAGACAGGAAGCCATGAGACAAAGATAAAGTCCACTCAGCTCCTGGATCAGTGACGGTGGAGGAAAGTGTGTGTGTGAATCCTGTGAATGGGAGATGATAATGTGTCTGTGTGGGTAAGAAGTGTGAGCGAGTGATAGGAAACGTGAATGAGGTATGTGTGTTTGTGGGTGTGTGTAAGATATTGTACGTGTGTGTGTGTGAGTACAATAGTATGATTCAGATCTCTGCAGCAGTGCAGCAGGAAATGAATCTCGGAGATCAGTCAGATGGGAAAAGACGGTCGAACAGCTCCGGGCTCCTGAACCTCACATCAGAACACGTCAGAGAGACGCAGCTACTGTATGATGAAGAAAACAACTTTCTGCCATGTTAATAAACGATTTTACTTGTAAACTTGTAGTGTTTCTGTATTTGTGTGTCTGTAGGGCATCAGCGTGGTGGAGCAGGAGCAGCTGGACAACATGATGATTGAGATGGACGGCACAGAAAACAAATGTGAGTCAGAGGAAGACGGGAACAAGTCGGGAAGTCTGGCTCCACGTCATCAGTCACACACACACAAAAAAATGTTTTTAACCAAAGGCACATTTGTGACAAAGCGTGTTGCAGAGCAGTGAGAGGCATAAACACAGAGCAAATAGGCTGCTGCTCCAAACGGGGTTTGGCAGGGTCAAAGCAAACTCACATCATCAACAAATAAATGCAATAATCATTCATTTAAATCTACAGTCATGGCGACTAAACAGCTGTGAAAGTAATGGTGTCGGGAGCTAATAATTTCAGTCTGCGCAGGAAACCTGTCAAAATAAATGTGTTGTGAAAGGAGACAGACTGTAATTTTCAAGGCTCAGACAGTTTATGCTCTTCGCTTATTGCTCAGCACTAGATCAAGAAGACATTTGTTTTTTACATTGGTTTGAGAGAAAAATCACTTAAATAAGAATCATGTTCATTATCTCTATCACACACTACCTGAAGCAAACACATAAAGTATGATCACCTGTAGCTCCATAACGTGTGATTGCAACAGAAGGGAAAAACGAGACCTGGCACTAAAGGAAATCTGAAGAAAAGTTAAGTTGAATGGAAATAAAAAAGGAGAGTAACCAAACTAATATGAATCCTTTCCTGCCTTCTGGTGTGTTGAACAGCTCAGTTCGGGGCTAATGCCATCCTGGGGGTGTCTCTAGCCATCTGTAAGGCTGGTGCTGCAGAGAAAGACGTCCCCCTGTACCGCCACATAGCTGACCTGGCTGGAAACACAGAGCTGGTGCTGCCGGTTCCTGTAAGACACAAACTCAGCACACAGTTTCATTTTGTGCATTACACCTCTTTCTCATCTGCAGATTCTTATTTAATCAGTTTGTATTGTAACACAAGTTGCTTAGATGTCTTTGTAATAAGCTTTATGTGTCTTTCAGACTGCATGATTGACCTCTGCTCTTCCCCATGTTTCCTCCAGGCCTTTAATGTGATAAATGGAGGATCTCACGCAGGAAACAAACTGGCCATGCAGGAGTTCATGGTTCTTCCTGTTGGAGCTGAGTCCTTCAAGTAAGAATCACCTCCAAAAGTTTGGCACTGATTAGTTAATGAAGTCAGGTTTTTGACTGGTGGACTGAAACCAGCATCCGGTCGACATTCTTTCCTTGCATTGTGCCTTCCCTCTGTCTCTCAGGGAGGCCTTGAGGATAGGGTCAGAGCTGTACCACACATTAAAGGGGGTGATTCAGGAGAAATACGGCCAGGACGCCACCAACGTGGGAGATGAGGGAGGATTCGCTCCCAACATCCTGGAGAACAGTGAAGGTGAGGAAGAGGAGAGTTTTTATTTCAGCTAAATTCTGTCCTCAGATCCTGTCCTGCCAAAAGTCACCATATACATTGTGCTTGATTTTATTTAACCTCAACCTGCTTTGTCATGCATATGTGTAGAAAAAAGGAAAAGAAACTTTAGTTTTGAGAGACTGATAATAAAACCTGACATTTATTGCCAGACCTGACATTTCAGCAACATAAAATGAAACGTTTTTCATTAAGTTGTGTAATAAACTCAGTCACTGCAAAGACAGAAATATAAATTTTGTCTCCAAAAACCACTTCTTGCCTTGGAACTCTTGAGCTTTGCTGCATTTACTTTGATTGATGTTCAACTGCAGCACCTTTTGGGAAGAATAATAAAATTATATAATGTCCCCTTCAAATTGCAAATTAAATTTATTGTAGTTGTAAACACGTAGAGAATTTCACTTCACTTCATCAATCAAAGAGGTAGTGAAGCCTGTTTATAGCCTGAGATGCAAAACCCAGAGCAATCATGTTCTATTTACCATCTCTACTCCCTGGTCTCTCTTCTGTGCTCGTTTCTCTCACTCCTCAGCTCTGGATCTGCTACAGACGGCCATCGAGAAGGCCGGCTTCACGGACAAGGTGGTGGTTGGGATGGACGTGGCTGCCTCAGAGTTCTACCGCGAGGGGAAATATGACCTGGACTTCAAATCCCCACCGGATCCAGAGAGACACATCACTGCAGAGGAGCTGGCTGACATCTACCAGGGCTTCGTCAACAACTACCCAGGTGGATGGTTTACACCCAGAGGCATTCAATCATCACCAAAATATTTTATTAACCTTTTATCTCACCTCCCTCCTTCCCAGTGGTGTCCATCGAGGACCCATTCGATCAGGACGACTGGGAGGCCTGGTCCCGTCTGACAGCCCAGGTGGGGATCCAGGTTGTTGGGGATGACCTGACGGTGACCAACCCTAAAAGGATAGAGAAAGCTGCTGAGGAGCGAGCCTGCAACTGTCTGCTGCTCAAAGTCAACCAGATCGGCACCGTCACCGAGGCCATACAGGCGTACGGCTGCTTTATTTCAAAGTTAACATGATTTCTAGATTGAACGAGGAGGCTTAAAGTTTCAGTTGTGAGGGGAAGGAAAAGATTCAGCACTGATTAATAGAAATCTTCAGTCAAACATTAAAATACTCAGTGCCTTGTTAAAAGCACATGTATGAGCAGTACTAGAGTAGCTACAGTAACAGGCTCTCTGGAGGCGTTTCTCCCTCTGTGACAGTTTGTGTTACTTCGTACTTTAACTTCATTACATTTATTTTATAACTTTAGTTACTAGTTACTTTTCAGAACCAGATTAATACAAAAATACAGTATAATTATAAAACCTCATTGATCTGTGGTGTAAAATTCACAAGCTACCAGCAGTACTTCAAGCTAAATGCACACAAGTTAGTTCAAAATAAAACTGTCTCTGTGCTTCAGGTGTAAACTGGCTCAGGCGAACGGTTGGGGTGTGATGGTCAGCCATCGCTCCGGAGAGACAGAGGACACCTTCATTGCTGACCTGGTGGTGGGACTCTGCACTGGACAGGTACACACACACACACACATTTGTTTTCATTCCTTGTGACTGACTTTCATTTCCTGGAGGCCTGCCTTGGTCTTAACCAAACCCTAAACCAAGCCGTTACACTAAAAATCAGTGATTTACATGGCGAGGGGCCAACATCTGGTCCCCACAAGGAAGGCCGAGTCCCCACAATGTGAATACCAGGCGTACCAACACACGTTGGTATTTCTAGCTGAGGACACTTAACATTGAACATCACAGTTAAATGCCTTAAAGGCAACTGATTCTTTCAGTATCTGCATGTGTCAGCGTGATATAAAATTCATCTGCCAGAGCAGTGAGGGTAACCCTCACCCTTAGCCTAAACCTAATTCTAACTATAACCCTCAAACAACACGTTACAGTTGTGAGGACAAGAACACACACACACAGTCTTTGAGGACTTCAGCTGATCTGGAGGCCCGTCCAAACCGTAACTGCAATTACACGCACAATTTATGCAAAATTTAGGCTTCAAATCATCAGAAAGAAAATGCAGTGACACTTTGATAATTTAACATTTCACAGGTTGGTATTTGCTTTAAATCATTGCAGAGACACTTTCCTCTGGATGATGATTCTCTCTCATTTCTCTGTGCTGCAGATTAAGACTGGCGCCCCCTGCAGATCTGAGAGGCTGGCCAAGTACAACCAGCTCATGAGGTCAGTGCATCGCACTCATAATCCTCCTCTCTCCTTGTAGCACACACCAACTTATTAACCTTATTTATTTCAGTTGAATTCATCAGTTCCGTTAAACTTTTGTTTGGGGTAACGTTCTGGTCAAAATACACATGCTTAAAAGAGGCATTTTTAAACTGGGTAAATAATGAATACAATAAAGCAAATGGCTGCACCCGGCCATTAGATATAACAACCAGAGATGCAGCTTTTATTATACATGCTCTCCCAATTTCAATATATGCGATATTTTTAAAACCATTATTTTTTCCTTTCAACTTTAGGCTACGATTTCTCACTTTTTGGAGCAGAGTCAGACCAACAGACTGAATTTTTAAAAACCTATTACAAAAGTACGCAGAGCTTTAAATAATTTCTCCTTTTTGTTTTTTGCTGCAGGATCGAGGAGGAGCTGGGCGACCAGGCTCGCTTCGCAGGCCATAACTTCAGGAACCCCAGCGCTCTGTGAAACTGACAGACGAATGACACGCAAACACACACACATACACTGACAATACACAACAAACACAGAACAAGCCATGTACAAAGAAAAAGGCCAGAGATTCATGAAAAACACAAGCCAAAAAAAAAACAAAAACCTAAATATGCACTGGACTTACAGATAAGGAGATGATACTGTATGCACACTCAGAACACAAAGATGCAACACGTGCTCATGCACACGCAGGGGAATAGTAAAGACATAACATTTATAAGCCAGACATACACTGTTACTGTAGTTTTAAAGGAATAGTTCATGTACAGCCAGAATAGAAACCTGCAAAGATAAAAAGATATTATTGCAAAAAGAGAGAAATAAGAGTAGAGATATTACAATATAAACTGAAGCACGCTGCTGAAAGAAAACACCTTTCAACCACAAAAAGGTGATGCATTTGCAAGAAGAAACAAAATACAAAATGACAAAAGTACACAAACACCTGAACACTCACAAACAGACTCACCTGGACACTGAAACACTTGCACTCCACCCACTTCTGACCTCCTCCCTCCATCTCCTCTTCCTGCCATGTCTGTTTCTGTTTCACACCCCTTTTTCTTCCTGAACCTCGTGGGATTCAGATTATTTGTCTTTCATGCTTGAAGCCACACCTCTGTCCTGAAGAAAAGGTAAAGAAAAGCCTGAATCCCTTCGGTTTCCCCTGAATGTCCATAGAATAACTGTGCTGAAAAGAATTTAAAAACCATACATAATCAGAATGCTTGTCAATGAAAATAATGTGAAAATGTGAAATAAAAAGATGGTAATTTACAATTTCAATCAGAGTTTTGCCTTTTTTGTGTCTGTTGTTCAAATACTCAGTGACATACTGACATTTACCAGGTACAGCATAATGTTTACCATGTTTGTCATCTTAGCTGAGTGAGACAACGTGCTATCATTGGCTTTTTAGCACAAAACCCAAAGCACAGCTGGTCTTTAAGATGTGATGGAGCCTTGTCATTAAGGGCAGAGAAATCTGAGGTGTCACAAGAGGATTAATAGGATACAAGAAAATTAAAAATATATTTCAACTACAGTTAATTTTGTTCTCTTGTACGATTTCTATTTCCTTGCGAAATTACTATTTACATATGAAAATGAATTGCTACTCACAAGCTTGTGACAAATAACCTGTAAAACAATTTGTACTTTTGAGTTTATCTGTGTATTTCTCTGATGAGCACACATCGACCAGTGTTAAACACACAACAGCAAACTACAGTGTTACATATTAAATCTTTAGTGCCGACTGGTAACAACTTCACAATAAAAGTCTCTGGCTCTTCAAACCTGAGTCCCAGCAGAAAGAGCTTGTGTGCACGCTGTATTCTACATTTACAAACATTCTGTCCAGACCTTTAATTTTACAAACCCTGGAGTAACAGTTAGTGAGACGGACTCCATCAGTAACACAACAGTGTTATCACTCTGTGCAAACACATAAAACAACCTGAAAAATTCACAAACTAATTCCAAAAATTCATAGTTTTCAAGGTGCTTTATTCATAATTTTGTAGTCAACACTAACTATTAATTTGATATAACACAGCTCTAATGGCAAAAAAATATTACTTTGAACAATATAATAAACAGAAAAGCTAAATTAGCAGCAATGTTGCAAAAACTCTAATATCTACATTCAATGTGTGTTTTGTAAAATAAAACTGAATGAACACGCGTCTGCAGACACACAGTGACGTGTCGATCTAAAGGGCAGTGTGTTTTTCACTGGACCCGGTGAAGCTGCTGTCTGTGTCGGTTATGCGCGTGCGTTGATGATGTCGACAAACTCTGGTTTGAGAGAAGCCCCGCCCACCAGAAAGCCATCCACGTCATCCTGAGACGCCAGCTCTCTGCAAGTCACCCCCGTCACTGAGCCTGGAAGATGAACACGGAGAAGAAGGTGGTTATGTGGGTTATCAGGTCTGACTTTCTGCAGAAAACTAACATGACTAATTTCTTCTTATGACATTTCTATTGTATGTCAAATTTCATTTTTACTTGTGTGCAAAAAAATTAAAGCAAATTCGAAAATTGGACACTAAAGAGTCATTTTCCTCTGCTGCAAAAATGTAATTATAACTGTTTATTCAGCTTCAGCTCTTGATCAATGAAGAAAAAACGTGATTTTAATTAGTGTTAGGGAAGCATGATTACCAGCGTCTCGTTAATTTACTTTCTACACTGATAAAAGTTCAGTTTTGTTGTCACTGAAGAACCCCTGACGGCTTGTGTTCTCTAGTTCTTTCAAACCTCCACCTTGGACAAAACAGTGTGATGCTCATTAAACATGAGAACATGAACCTGAGCAGAGCAAAAAGACATGGAAGTGGCTCAGAAAAAGGACTGAGGTGACAATCAACCTGCTGCCAAGAGACGCATGATGCGACCACTAGGAGTCATCAAAGTCACAAATGTTTAAATCTTGTACTTTGGTGCTTTAAAGGTAAAACTGTGATGACTGCGGGTACATCCTAAGTCTCTTACATGCACCAATGTTCCCCTCAGTTACATCGTTCCCACGCAAGATGTGAGAGCAAGGTGCAAGAGGAACTTAGAAAACTTGTTTATAGAGACATGAGACATCCTTTCCTTAGATCCTTCATCTGAGGCCTCTAATCACAAAATGATATGATAGAGGGGTGTGTCGGTCTAAGGTTCCTCCAGTAGCCTCCTCCCTTCTCAGAGCAGATATAAGGGTTTTGGAATGTCCTCAATTCCCACTCGACCTGGAAGTCATTCCGGTTGAGTGAGGAGCAATCACATGAGAGACTTGAGATGCAGCCTATGCTGACAAACCACCACTGACCTCCGTAGATGATGCGCAGAGAGTCGGCTACTTCATCCGAGATGTTTGCTCTGATCCACGCCCTCAGCTTCTCGTGAACCTCCTGAGCCTGGACACACACATACATGTTCATACAATGACTTCCAGTAACTTCCTAAAGACTTACCTGAGCCCACTACTTGCTTAACCCTTATCCTTAGCCTTAAACCAAGTGTTCACTCTGAAGTGCAGTGATTTACAGGGCGGGGACCAGGATCACACAAAACACATTCATGTTTGTGATTGGAATTTAAAGAGACCAAATCTGGAGACAGAAGCTTTTGGAAATACCAGCAGCTGAATGTGCAGCTTTGTAAACTCTCAGTAATGAAACACAGTCAGAGCCTTTCTTTCTTTGTACAGACACAGAACAGCCAGTCCCATTAAATACATGTAAATCTCGATGCTACCTGTTCAGGTGTGGCTGTCCTGCCTGTTCCGATGGCCCACACAGGCTCATATGCCAGCACCACCTTCTCCCAGTCCATCACGTTCTCTGTAACAAAACAAGGTCCCTCCAGCAAAAAACTCTGAAACTCCTTTTAAACAAACATCAATAAATCATAAAGTGATACCCTAACATTTAAAGTGATGATATATTGATGCAGATACCAAAAATCAATGAGCGACTATTTTACAGAAAAGTGCAACAGCTCAACACGAGATCTAGTGTTTCAGATGGAAAAAGTATGTCATGTCATGAATATAGTGCAGTAACTCGTGTACTAGAAGATACATGAAAACCAAAGAGCTGAATATGCTTGTTTTTTCTCTACAGCTGTATAAAACCCAGAGACGTTCAATTTACTGTCACATAAAACTAAGAAAACAAGCTAATTTTAACACTGGAGACTTAATTTTTGGGCTTTTTTCCCTTAAATTTTTTCACATTTATTGATAATTTTCTTATGACCAAATAATCGATTGACAAATACTTTAGCTTTCCTTAAAATATATTTTAGGAACCAAGGCAGCATTCAAATGATACAGCAATTTAAAAAATGATTTATGCTTTGTTTGTAAGAACTAAAAAATGGACAGAGCTTTTAAAAATATGTAATAAAGATGAGGAAAATAAAATAAAAATAACTATAAACAGCTTAAAATGGTAAAAATATAGAACATTATGGTTATTTCCTTTGTTTACCTGCAATGACCTGCGTCTGAGCGCAAACGACTTCTTCTGTGGTGCCCGACTCGCGCTCCTCCAGCTTCTCACCGATGCAGGCGATCACGCCCAGACCGCTCTGCAGAGCGTGAGCTACCTGAGGACGGATGACAGGCTGGGAAGTCAACCTGGACCTGCACTGATAGTGTGTGTGTGTGCGCAACACTGGCACGATTCATTGGGAAAAAGCATTAGACACAAATGCTGCAAGTAAAATCGATGATTTCTGTTACATTTCTGTTCCTTAGGATGGCGCTGAAATACAGAAAACACTAAGTCTCATGCACTGGTGATGTTTCATGTTTCCCTTCTTGTTTGGCACGTCGTCCAGTGACTCGGTTTCTGTGTTTGTGTGTGTGTGTGTGTGTGTGTGTGTGTGTGTGTGTGTGTGTGGAAAAAACAAGTTTACAATTTCCACGTGAAAACAGCAACACACTTCTGTAACTGACAAATATATCGTGAGGTTCACTGGAAGATTATCAGTGACTTCTAAGAGATATGTCGAGGAGATCCTGTCGATGCTGTCTTAAAAGTTCTTCTGAACCAGACCAATTTCAATAGATCTCTGGACACGTTTTCACCTGGAAGTCAAACACCAGCTGACTGAGCCAACATGTCAGCTCCGAAACACCCAGTTTTCTACTCTTTAAACTTGGTTCTCTGTTGCTTTTAACTGAGATTTGTAGGTTTTAGTAAAGAAAATAATCCACTTTACAATTTAATGCATTTAAGATTTGTATTAAATGTTAGACTTAATTTGACAAATGTAAGAAATGTTGCATTGCTTCTTCATTTTGCAAGCGTCTTACTTTCTGGCCGATCAGCTCGTCGCTTTCCCCAAACACGTGCCGGCGCTCAGAGTGTCCCAGGACCACCCAGTCCGCCCCACAGTCCTTGATCATAGCCGGGCTGCAGAGACAGGAGACATGTTCAAGTCACTGGGACATTAAATCATTCATATTTCACAGAATGGGACGGTAAAGAACGTCGCATTCAACCAAAGAAAGGGGTGAGAAAAGCCAAAGTCAAAATCCAAACAGACAGATAATGTCTTGATACAGAAAAGAGCTTTCCTCTTCAGTTTACCTTTATTTATCTATCCAGAGCAGCTAACATATAATAAGATATCAGCACTTTCTGACAAGAAGAAAACTGCCTTCGACTGGTTGTACTGGCCCTTTAGAAGACTGGTGATGGCAAAGGTATGTGATTAGTCTACAGTTCAGTTAATAAGTCTGAATTCTAAATAATGTATGTGAGTGTACCGAGTCAGCGGGTGGATACCTGATCTCTCCCGTGAACGCTCCCTGCGCCACCTTGTAACAGTTCTGGGCCGCGACCGCGATCCTGGGATCCAGACTGGACCGAGCAAAGTCCAGGTAGATGGAGGGAGCGGCACACACCACATCTGGCAGTTATAGAGAAACAGCTGAATTCCATCTGTGCCTGATGAAGAGTTTGTCACCTTGAGAATTCTAAAATATGCATTTAGTGTACTACTGAGAGCGCAGTAGTACAGACAGGTGACCTCTGGGCTGGGACTGAAATGGTTAACTGGTTATGGTCAACATTTATTTCCAGAGGAGGTCCACTGCTAAAGACACAGTGCGACTGTAAAGCAAATGTTTGCAGCATTTCACAGCTGCAGCTGATCGAGATGGAGCGCACTACTTCCCTCTGAAATACAGTGGAAGCATAAACTGTAAACTACAGGTTCATTCCAGTTCTACTTAACTTTCTGGTGCCTTTCACCATTAACGTCTGAGGCCTTCATGCAGCTCAGTCTGGTCACACGACTCCCTGAATCCCAATTTCTCAATCACATTTGTCTCTGCGTCTAAAAACCCGCAGCCTGTGACAGTTCGCGCGCAGACAGCAACATGACGGGGCGCGAACCTACCGGTCTGCTCATGCAGGCTGGCGTTGTTCAGGGTGGCGATCAGCTCTCCCAGACTCCCCTTGTTCCCGTTCATCTTCCAGTTTCCTCCCACGAAAAACCTCCTGGACGCCATGACCAGCTGAAGGTGACTGCTACCCGGTGAAGAGGAGGCTGAGGACCGACTGCTGCAGGATGACTCCGGTTGCTGCGCACGTCAGGTGCTGTCGGAAATACACTCAGCACCGGTTAATGTCTACTTCGTGTTTGGGTTTATGGGGAATCCAACAGCTCCATGGTGCAGTACCGCCACCTGATGTCAACACCCAGTCCTCTTTCTGGGCCGACCCGTAGTCTAAGACCGCTTTGAGGTTTGAGGTACCCTGCTTTAATATTTGTTTTACTTTATATGTATATATACATTTCCGTGAGAATAATTTTTGCTCCACTTCATTTAGATTAGATGCAGTTGCTCTGCAAGACTACACAGATTTTCCTCCCTGCTGTCACCAAGTGCTGCTCAAGGGGGAATTGTTGGGGTTTTCCCTATATAATTAATATTTTAAACAGTTTTCTCAATTTTTAGTATGAGGTGTCACTTTACAGTAGAAGTCTGACTCAATTAAAGTGAAATTAAATACATATTTAACCACAGATCTCTGTACTGAGAAGTTGGAGTAAACTTGACTGATTGTGGCTGGTCTCTGTTAAAACTGTTTATTCCGAGATGTGTCAGTAACCCAGAGCAGCAGTATTGACGTTTTCCCACTGTTTTGCACCAACATCTTACGCCCTGCCTGCTGCGCGTGTTACCCCTCCCAGACACGGGCGTGCCCTGAAGGATTACAAGAGACAGAGATGAGTTTGCCTTGTGCATCACTCGGCTGCTGAATTTATTCTGCAGTTCTGCCTCTTAACGGCCTGCCCATTTTACTGATGCGCCCACCCCCCGGTGGCGCTCCACATTACGGCACTTCAGTATTCCCAGTTTAAAGCCTATTCAACTCTTAAATCATGTGTTATCATGAGCCTTACACGTGCAGGTGTGGCTCATGCTGCTCATGTGTTTCAGTTAATGAAGCTTCTCTTCAGGCTGTTTTGTCCTCTAGAGCTGAAGAGCTGCAACTGTAGTGAAAATGTAACTTCTTTTTTTTACAGTACATGCACTTCCTGTTGGAGATTCTGGAGTACTGAACATCAGTTATTTAAAGTGTAGCACTTTGTTAATGACCTTGAAAATGACAAATAGACAGGGTTAATGCAGATGTTCTATGTTTATTAGAAAGATTTTCAAGAAACATTTGGTCTGTTTTTACAGAGGAACTGCACAACTGTAAAAGTACTACAAAATGCAGGGCATCCTAGGACAGGTCAGGCCACCTCCTGCCTCACAGCCTGGCTTCATCTTTGAGCCTTCATTGATACGAGTACATCAGATTTTCACAGAGACACTGAAACCACAGCAGCCATCTTGGATAAAAGTCTGCTGGTTGATAACTGGGGACTGTACAGTTATCCTAATCTAAATGCACGTATCAGTCTTTGGTCTAAATAAGTGCAATGCTCTTTTACAGGTCAATGAGCTCAAAAATAATAAAAAATAAATATGTAATCGTATAGTTTTTCCATATTCATGTTTTCCCTCTTCATTGTTAAAAAAATCTGTGTTTTCTGTATTTTCTGCTCATTTTTTCATTATTTTTTGTGCAATCATTGATAATAAATCTGTTGTACATACAGCAGGATGCATTGTGCACTGTTTAACTGATACCATTTATAATGTGTCTCATTCGCAGCCTCTTGTACTTTGTATACATGGAAGAAGCAGAGGAGGAGAGCAGAAGACATTGAGGTCTGAGCTCAGACACCTGTGACAAATCTACTCCGGGCTCCTCCCCTTCCTCTCCTCCTCTTCCCCTCCCAGTGTTGTCTTCTGGGATGCCTCAGTTCCACAGTTTGAGGAAGCTGTCCCAGGATCCTGTGCAGACGCCCATACCATCAGCAGGGACACCAGTGCAGCTCACCCTGTTGTCATGGCCTGATAGAACACCTGGAGGAGAGGAGAGAAGAGGAGGAGATGAAGGAAGGGGAGGAGGTGCAGTTTTTCAAGGGAAACCTCTTCATGCCATTTATCACTCTGCTGCAGCTTATACTACATATCACTCCCATGTGTTAATGTGTTTCTTCTGGTTAAATGAATTTAAACTTTAAATAAAGCATTAAAAACGGATTGAATTCATCTTTAACCACTCACCAACTTTCTCTCCCTTCAGTGAGTCCCAGATGTGGCAGTTGAAGTCATCGTAGCCGGCGAAAATAAGGCGTCCTGAGTTGGACAGCGCCACAGATGTGACGCTGGCGTTCAAGCTGGCGTCCTGGTAGCTGATCACCTCCTGGTCGGAACGCAGATCATACATCTTGCAGGAGCAGTCATCAGAGCCTGTGATGACTGTATGGCCATTGGGGAAGAACTGAAGCCAAGAAGAGCATTCATTTAGAAACAGAAATGTTTGACTAAATAATCACAGGTGTACTCACTTGTTGCCTTGAGGTTGAACTTTGGGTCCAATACTTTCAGTGTAGTCTGCCTAAATTGGTAGTTTTAATTATAAATAAAATACTGTACACCTCACCTAAAGGTGTTTAAGATAACTTTGACCATTTAAGTTTAGTGATATTGCACAGGGATGTACTTAGACTGGTACTGCATGTCTGAAAATCAGAGCAGTTAGTTAAATAACTGAAGTACCACTGGAGTTTGTCTGCTAAAAAAACCAATCTGACAAACAGGTGTAAAGGTTGTGTTATCTCTGGTGTGTGATGCTCACAGCGATGGCGTTGATGTCGCTGGTGTGCCCAGTGAAGGTCTGTTTGCAGGTCCCTGCCCTCAGGTCCCACAGCTTGGCCAGAGAGTCGCAGGCTCCGGAGACAAAGGTGTTCATGTCTGGGGACAGAGCCAGCGACATGCAGTCTCCGATGTGGTTGGTGAACACAGACTTCTGCTTGCCAGTTTCCACGTCCCACAGACAGCTACAGAGGAGAGAGGCAGGGAAAGATGGAGGCATGAAACAGCAGACTTGGATCAGGTCTTTTTCTCAGTGGGTCTGTTTTCAGATCTGGTCTGACTGGTTTAGGTTTCTTTTAATGTGAAAATCAAGTTATAAATTCTTGTTCCATGAGTCAGTTTTTTGCCAGTTATAGCACAGTGCACGTTCAGCATATATTGTACTGTTCTAGTATCTTTAGTAATATGGCGCTTTACAGATGTTTTCAGTTACTGTAACAAGCTAAAGGTAGAATTCTTAATGATAACACTCACCAGGTGGTGTCACCAGAGGATGTCACAATCTCACTGTCGCTAAGGAAACGGCAGCAAGACAGGTAACCTGGTTGGAAGAGCCGCAGCCAAGCATTCAATCATCTGCATCTGTCCATCTCTACCATTTTTCATTTGTTCATTGTCAGTTTCAGTCATTAGAGGCAAAATGGCGCCAGTGATTGTCGTTCCTCACCTGTGTGTGCATCCAGCTCCCTGAGGGTCTTGGGACTGGCAGCCTTGATGTTATAGACTGTGCAGATGTTGTCCAGACCACCACTGGCCACCAGGTTACCAGAGGGGGCGAAGGCGACGCTCATCACCCAGGCTGACTTCAGTGGCACAGCAACCAGCTGGGAAGTGGAAATTTAGTTCAGTTAACTTATGACCTGCAGCACATTCCATAAGATTTATGAGCTGACTGAATTCAGTGGTTAGGTTGCTGCAGCTGATGTTCATTGTCTTTATATCTGAACTTTGTGCTGCCTCGTTTCTTCCTTACAAACTGGAAACAAGTGAAACCATCACTGAACACTTAACCCACCGCTGAAATTCAATCTATCCAAGTATTTAAGGATTAGAAGCTCTGACAGGTTTTGGGAACTGTTCATCCTAATCAGAGACTCAGTTCACTTTAATTAAAGATCTCAATTTTAAAAACCCAAATTACTGAGGTTGTCCTAGAGGTTATGCTTTTTCTCAGAATGTTTACTGAGGGTAAACACTACCACTAATAGATAATACATGTTATACAATTTCAAGACACCTCATTAACCATGGGCCAGATTTACACCACTAAGTCGTGCACCATGACCATCAGAGTCACTTGGTGTCACTTCAAGGGATTACATTATAACGCGTTTCTGCGCCAACACTGTAAAGACAAACTCTTTTTGTGTGAGCCTACCTTGTTCCCAGTGTAGGTGTCCCAGATGAGGAGCTTGCCATCCTGTGATGCACTGACCATTTGCCTGTGACACAAAGCAGCCCAGCTTTAATGATGAAATCCAACCTTTTTATCCCAGCTAGGGTAAACTTTAACCCAATCCCCAACCTTAAACCTGCTCAGGTTCACAGCGAATACTGACTGCTTCCTGCCGAGGCTGGCCGTCACAGGTCTTGTTTAAAATCGTGGTTGTTTGCACTCACCTAGAGTCAGCTGACCAGTGCATGGAATAGATTTTGGCCAGGTGACCCTTGAGTGTCTTCCTGAGCTTCAGCTGGATTCGTCCCACTGAGGCCACGCCCCCTGCTGCTGCTGACATGCTGCTGTCACTCACAGCCTTACGGGCAGCCTGGTGGTCACACGGGGAAGAACAAGGTGGAACAAAGTGAAGAGAAAACAGTAAAATAAAATCCACTTGGATGGTTTAGGTCACTTAACCCCCATATTTCCTCCTGACGTGCTGTCGTCATGCTCAGTTTTTATTTAGAGGTGCAGCTGAAACTCGGTAGAAGTAGTAGGTTATGTAGTATTAGTGGCAGTGTAGTGATCGTAACAGTATTGTTAGTTTTGTTATGACTTACTGGAGAAGTAGGACCCAATGTGCTGAACACACAAGCCAGGGAAAGGTTCAAATAGATTTGTAATAAATACAGAACAAGAAACTAAAGGAAAAAATACTGGGGCTCAACCTGACAGAGAACAAAGAACACCAAAGCTTAAACAGTTTGGTCAGGGAGCAAGGTACAAGAACTAAAGCCAAACCAGAGAAACTAACCTAGGAACTACTGACAGATAAATCCCAAAACATAAAGGAACAAACCCGAAGAAGCAGGACTGGAAACCAACATGAGACAGAGAAAGAGGTTACAAATACAGGAGTACAGAGTGTGGCGAAGGTAGACTGAGCAAGCACACGACCTGGCAGGGTGTGAAGAACAAGAGAGAGCAAGCAGACGACAGGGGCGACAAGGCATGGAGACAAAATGAACCAGCAAGAAACTGAGGGAAAGGAGGAGTATATATAGGCAGGAGACCAGAGAATAACGAGCAGCAGGTGGAAGCAATGAACAGTAACTGTGGTGGGTAGAGCAGTTGTCTACCAACCGGAAGGTTGAGGGTTCGAATCTGGTGCCTGCAGTCCGCATGTCGAAGTGTCCTTGGGCAAGACACTGAACCCCCCCAAGTTGCCCGTGATGGCGGCATGCATGTACACAGCGGCCCGAGGCCCTCGACTCCGAGCAAAATTTCATTGGATGTGTCACAATGTTACAATGACAATAAAATGAAGCTGCTAATTGTGAACCAGGGTAAAGCTGGGGCAGGTGAGGTGACACAAGACAGGAAACTAACCAAAATAAAAGCACCAAACAGGAAGCAAGTCCACAAACCATAACAAGTTTAAGCAGAAAGTGCTCACCTCAATCTTTGCACGCAGTGCATCACACTCCTTTTTCAGTGCTTCAATTTCAGCTTTCTCAGCTGCCATGGCGACAGTTGCTAGGGGCTGTTACAGGCAGAAAATGAAACGGTCCCTCTGATGCAGGTGAAGGAAAGAAGAAAAGACGGGGGATGAAGAAGAAAGAAAAAATTAGCACATTATTGATGCTGGGAATTGTAAGATAAAATAATTACAGCTCAAATTTGGTCGCACATGGACATGAAATATTAGCAACTACAACAGATTAGAGACAAATGATGGGTTTGGCCTTGTGGGAGAAATCAGGCTGCAGCTTATCGCTGCCACACCTGAGGAGCCAATCCTCTTGAGAAGCTACAATCCAGAAATTACCTTCAGAGGGTTTAAGGAATGATTACACTGGATCCAATCCTACATAGGAGAGATAAATTGTTCTCTTGCTTGCAAAAATTGATGCTTCAAGATGACTTAAAACACTTTTAGTGGATTGTAGAATCAAGCAGCCTTCTTATGAAAAATGAATTTTACAAAACAACTCAGAGATGATCATAGAGGAAAGTTCCTGCTTCCTAAAGGTCACTGCTGCAGCTACATTTCATGGTTTACAGGTAGTCATGAGCAGAAAATTCTAATTAATATGAAAGTTTCCCATAAATTTCCTGTGCTGCAGAATAAAGAAAAATCAACCTCTGACAGCAAACAGCTAACGTTCTCCAACAACAGAGGAATCATGTGAAAGAAAACTCACCTTTCCACACACAATGTGGTCCCTTCCCTTTTCTGCACCTGTGCAGCTGCTGGTCCCAAATGCCTCTGGTTCTGTGCTCCCACAGTCCCAGGGTGAACACGCTGCTCACTGCCACGCTCTCCCCCAGCAAACTGCTGGTAGCTTACTTGTGAAAAACTCTCTCTTGGTCTCTCCCTTCCTTTGCAGTGAATAACAGATGAGGATTGGAGGGGATGAAGGAGATAAGGGATGAAAGGATCAAAGATAGAAATAGAGAGGGAAGGTGAAAAAGAGAGAGGGGGGGAGATGGAACATGGTGAGAGGAGGTAGGTAAACATGTTGGAGGGGGAAATCAGGTTATGAGGTTAAAAGGCAGGAGCAGGGGGAGAAATGAAAGACAACAGGAAGAGAAAGGGAATGGGTTGAAATGAAATGTGAGAATATGAGAGGGGAGAAAAAAGGCTGGAGGAGGTTGCAGAGAAAATTCACCTGTTGGACAAAAGTAGCCACTGAAGGAAGGAACTGATGAGCACAGAGGTGATGACTGAAGGAATATGCTCCTGTATTAGGGCATGACAGCCAGTTTCAGATGCAATGAAAGGAAACTAAAACGCTGTTGGAAAGCAAAATGTTTCCACTTTGATTTGTTTCATGGAGTCGTATCAAATAACTACATATTTTTTTGTACAAATATGAGAAATTATTTTCATTCCAGGATATAGCAGTGTCACCAGTGTCCTAGTGACAGTGTGTGTGTTTTGTGAGGACGGGCTGGATAGTCTGGGGAGTAGGATGAGAGGGGGACTGGTTTGCCAGAGCTAACGAGCTGAGCCAAGTTAATCAGGCTCTAATGGAATATCCGGGAACGGCCAATCTCATTAGGGAACTAGAGCAGGCTCAATGTGCGTCACATGGCACAGCGGAAGCTGTGGATCAAGAGTCAAATTGAGATGTTTGAGAAACTCTTTTGAACAGCAGTTCAAGCTTAAAAGAGACAGTGGCTCCTCATGAAGAATAAGTTAACAAATGTTTAAACTGGAGACAATTTCTTTCCTGGCTACTGACAGTTTGCTGTTTGTTTAAGATGGTTATCTCAGCTAACGTGGCCCTCTTACTACGTAGCAGGACCACAAGTCTCACTGGTTCAGTATTGGGCTAATCCACTGCTTGCCCTCATGCATCACGGGTGCATACTGAGCTCATCAGTGATGTTTTAATGGCCTCCTCTAACAGGCCCTTTCAGATTAATCCTCACCTTGGCCACATGTTTTTAAGTAATTGATGCAACAGGTTTTGTCTTAGGCCTGGTGACATCATACAGCGTCATCAGTGATACATCACCCTGATTGGTCAGACACACACAGGGCCCAGTATGAATCATGTGCTCTGTCCATGTGTCCTGAGGCAAAGCAGTATTTAGTAAGTCCACCTTTAATGTGCTGAGATACAACAGCTGTGTTAAAGTAAAATCCATATAAACTGCCACTGGTGAAGAACATCTGGCCATAAAAATAATACACTGTATTTATTGTGTCAAACTTGTACTTTGAGAAGGTTTATAAAGCCTGAAACCTTTATGCTTTGCATCACAGTTGGTCTTATATATGTATTTGTGTGCAAGTTTAGATTTGTATTTATTATTTTAGTGGTTTGCCTTTTAGTTTGCATTAAATCTACACTCTATCTTGTCAAGGTGTTGGTACATGTTCTCTCTCAGTGTCTTTTAAGGTTCCTGAAGCTACAAACTTAAATCTGGTTTCTCTCCTCCCTGGTTCATTGTTTGATTCATCGATGGGACGTTACATTACATAGTGTAAAGAGCCATGCCCTTCTTTCTCAGTAAGATTCAGCCAGTAATGAGCTAATGAGCTGTGACAGAAGAGGGCTAGCTGACTTCCTGATAACTCCCTGTGGTAACAAGCTCAGGAAGGAAGCAGGAGAACAAACCATGCTCCCCAGAAACCCTCTCCTCCTTCAGTGGAAATCTACAAGACAAAAACTGCATCTAAAATGTTGAAGTATTGCTCTTTGTATGCATTGTTTCTGTTGTTTTACTTTGTGATTTAGAAATGTTGAAGTATTGTTCTTTGTATGGACTGTTTCTGTTGTTTTACTTTGTGATTTAGATTTCCGCCTCAGATTACACAGTTTCTCTTTCTGTGATTTTATTCTCAGAGAAATTCCAATTAGATCATCTCATTAAATGATCAAACTGCTTCAAAATCAGACTTTAAAGCGGTTTCTAAATGGACAAATAAGCCTGGTGACCCAGTAAATGTGTGTGTGGTAGAGAACAGATGTTTTATAATACTCACAATGTCTCCAGAACTTTCTGATCTAAAAAACACAGCAGGAGGAAATTCCTCAGTTGAATCCATCATGAAGAACTGAAACAGCTAATTGAGTTATGTTACACAACCATGTTTTTTTAATTATCAGTAAACTTCATACGAAGAAACTTGGACTGTGCTTATACAGCGTTTTTCTACCTTAACAGACAAAGCGTGTTGCAACTTTTGCCTCTTATTCACCCTGTCTTAGTGTTTGCTGTGATCCTCTTTGCCTTTAAACCAGCACCACTTCTCCTCAGTACAACTGCTTAAAGTGTTTCCAGGTACTTGTTCCAACATCTGGGAGCCACAGTTCTGTTGATTCAGGTTGTCTCATTGTTTTCGGTCTCTTCATGTGATCCCAGACTGAATCCATCAGGCTAAGATCAGAGCTCCAGACAATAAAGCATGATTTTTTTTCAACACCACCACCACAATGTAAACACACCACTGACATATTATCATGCGGTGACTGTGTTAGCAAACAGTTGCTTAGCTGCACATCCAACAGTTATGGAGTTTAATATTGGAGCTGTGTTTGGGTCTCCACTCCTGAGGCAAAATATCTGACTCACAGGATGCTTCACTTTCTTCACCAGCCAGCTGCTAACTGTGGTCATGTGCTGCAGCTGGAAACGACTACGAGAGCGACTACAGTGCAGCCGTGGGCCATAAAGCCAAACCAATGAACTTAAAGATGCTTAAACACTTTGTGGAGTTGAGACAAACTGTAGAGTCAGATGAATGACATGTTTCCCATTACACACAGTCATCTGACCCGTTTTTAATGTAAAAATATACTTTAGATTTTAATTGACAAATGTTGTTTAATTATTTACAAGATCTACAGGACACATTTCTGCATAACTGCATATGTTTGATTTATGTTGCCTTTAAAAAGAATCAATCAATTGAGAAAATAAAACAGAAGAACTTGGCAACTACAAGTTCACACATCACTCTTGCTTGGTTATATCAGCAGTATATAAGATAATCATTCTCCCACCTATGTAATATCATGATCCTTCATGTAAAGTTCATACAGTATAAAGCTATAAAAAACAATTTCCCATGTAAAAAAAATCTTTGAAAATATTAGTAGTTATTTTAAATCCCGGATCAGTAAATTGTAAAAGAGCAAAATGTAAAAATAAGCCATTATTTATGTGTTTAAGGCCCAGATTCAGTGTAGCACCACAAACACATATCATATTTGGTCACATACAGTCGTTCTCCGCAGCTTTAGCTTCGGTGAAACTTCCCCTTGTGTTTCTAGAGATGCTCGGTGCTGTCGATGACTCGGCGTGATTAGGTGGTGCCGGCACCCATCTCCTTCTCACAGATGAAAGGCAAGTTCATGGAGCAGGGGGCGTCGTACCAGCTCCGAATTGCCACTCGCTCCAACACACGTGTTTTCACAATGTAGCCACAGTCCTCATTAATGTGATTGTTGGGCTCTCCTGCCTCCCAGAAACTACAGTTAGAAGAGACAAAGAAAAAATCATTTTGTTATGTACAGCTTTAACGCCACACAGAATCTCTGGGAATTATGCTCATGTTTGTCATTTTTCTGCTCATTAACACCCAGTGTTGACATTCAGTGCCAGTCTGCAGTTAAGAGTGGTTAGAAGCTAAATATTACAATAGTGTGAAATTACTCAGAAACATCTGAGCAGAGACAAGTCAGAAGCATATGATGCCCCCAAAAAAATCTCAACAGGAAAACAGGAGGAGAAGTAGAGAGCAAATAAACAGGAATGACAGAAAATTACTCACCAACACATATTTTCAAAATGAGGAAGAGCTATCTGATGTTACTATAAAATCTGCAGAGTCAGGAAAGGACAGGAAAGACAGAGAAAAGAAGAACCACAGTAATATTTTGGCTTTTTGAAATTTGCCTCCTGTGTGTTTGTGTGGTGGAGAGGAGGACGTGTGGCTCAGGCCTGTTTGGCTGCACCTGGGAGCTGCTCAGCGTCCTCCCAGATCATATTCACATATTCCTTCTTATATATTTACAGTATCTATGATGTACATCTAACACAGAACATCTATTGTGAGTCTGTTGTGCAGGAAGAGAGAGCATCGCCCTGTTGCTCTTCCTGCAGTTTTTGCCAAAGAGTGTTTGATTATCCAAGTTTTCATGACACAAGTTTATCATTTGTAATATTAAAAATTGACTTAACTGAGGCAAATTGAAACAGACTGCTGTACAGACATAATCAACACCAGCCAAAGACAAATGAATGAAGGAGCTTTCACATGACTGACACAGAACTGATCTTTCCTTTATGTTTCTGACAAGTTTCATGAGAGGTCTGAGGGCGGGTTCAACGGCAGTCGCACAGCACTGCTCGGAGCTGCTGTTTGCAGTGAAAGCAGGCAGACAGGACCTTGGCCTCCCTCCAACTCTCACATGGAGGACTAGAACTTTTAACTCTTCAGTGACTCTGTCCTGTTTAGTGTTTCTGTACCGAGCATCTGCACTCTGAGCATTTTAAACATGAATAAGAGGGAAAAAACAGCTTTTATCAAAACAAGTTTAAGTAATATGGCAACTCCTGATTATTTACATTTTTCATCAAAGACTGGATCGTTTTTGTAAGTGAGGGATCAATATTAATATTGTAAAAATATACATTTCACTATTTCTCAGAGACTGTTGGGGGTGTTTTCAAAGCTTTTTGTCTTATCAGCAGGCCAAAACATATAAATAACACAACAGATAAAACCAGTACTGAATGAATGAACAAAATAACTTTAATAACCATCTTAAATAACTCATGCTAATATCTGCTAACTACCACAAAAGATTAAGTACAGTGGAGGCAGAGGACAGTGTCCTCAGTCTTGTAGGCATTTGTAAAGTCAGAATGAATGATCCTGAGGTGGAACATGAAGGTCTGTACAAAAAGTCATGTTGATCCATCCAACAGTTGTTGAGATATGTTAGTCTGGACTAAAGTGGTGGAGCCATGCTGCTAGTGTGGCTACAGGTAAGATGCACAGTGGTTGCAAACCACAGTGCTATTATAATTTCCAGGAACTTCACTTCCTGTTTTGGATCCTTCCCTGCAGAAATCTTCTATACTGAGGCAAGACTTTCCAGTGAAACAGGAAGTGTCTGCACTTAAAATTGTTTATTTTCCTCGTTTACATCCCTTTTTCCCCAACCAGACCAACAACCGTCGCCGTGCAGGAGTGTGTACTGTACCACAGCCAGTCTGGAGCCCAAGAAATTCACTGGATTCAAGTCAAAGCTCTTGAATCAATCTGTCCACCAACAGGCTGACTCTTAAATCTCTTATAAGACAGCATTTCACAAGACATAGTGTGTTTATAGTTTGCATGTGTGATTCCTTATGTTTCTCTCGTTGTGATTGTTTGCACTGACAAATAAACACTTTGACCTTTGACCTTGACATATTTAATGTATGTTCCATAAGGTCAATAAAGGTTCATTGAGCTTCATATATGTTGCCTAACAATCTGCATGTTTTGCTCTGTGTGTTTTAAAACCTGCATTAATTGACTTATAAACAAAATATTATCATATTATCACCTTATAAAGTTATGGTGCACATGCTAAAAAACAATTATAATAATTAAAATAACAGATACAAAGCAACAATTGCATTCATTTGGATTTGTGTCTCAGGCCTTATGTGGCAGATGCAAGTTCTATATTCATTGTTGGAAGCAAAGCTAAAGGCTGTAAAACCAAAAGGATTTGCCATAAAACAGAGGGGAACTGCACAGTTTGTCATGATTCTGTCCCACCGGCTTCCGGTCCCAGGCTTTTATTTTGTTTGGTCCACCTCAGTTTTGGACTCTTTACATTAATCAGCTGGTATTGTTTTCACCTGCATCTCATCACCCAGATTGGCAACACCTTCTACACAAGCACATAGGCAACTTCCCCACACCAGGAAGTTGCCAGATTGTTCTAGACCCCAGCTCTGACTTTCCAGCATTCTTTTGCTGCCTGATTATCTTGTTCTGACCCCGGATTGCCTGATGACCACTGTGTTTTCCCTTATTCCCCCCCCGATTCTGACTGCCTGCAGTGTACCGACCCTCTGATATCTCCTCCCTGACCTCTCTCTTGTGGATCTCTGTAGATGCTTACCGGCGCTGACCTTGGACTGTATTATCGACCTGATTTTGATCCTGGACTTTGTACTGTTGTTTTTGAGTGTTGCTAGTAAAAGACTATTCTCTACCTCAGTCCATCTGGCAATATCATTGAGCTCACTACAAACACTATTTGGCAGCTTTACCCGCCAAACCTGACACAGTTGGGTAATAATTCTGTTTTTTTTTTATTACTACAATCAGCACCATTCACAATAAGTCATTTGACCCACTGTTAGTACTGATACGTACTTCCCATGAAGTGAAGTCACATTATTCTCATTGTCTTTTATAAAATTTAAAAATAATGTTTTATGACTAATTGAGATTAATTGGCTTGTTTTGCATGTAGTTCGATTGTGAAAGAAGTGAACCTACCCCCCGACCAGTGTAGTGCCATCCACCCATTTCCACTGATCCTCAGTCTGTTCATCAGTGATTCCAAACCAGTAGGAGTTCCAGTGACCTCTGGGAAGAAGATTCCACAGAAATGTCTGCGAGGAAACAAACACACACATGCGCACAAAGAAAATGTTTAAAGGAAACACAAAGTATTTTCAAGGAACATTCATCAGTAATTGTTCTTGTGCCTTTATGGAACAGCACAATGTCTGAAATATGATTAATATCCCAACTCTATCACCAGAGGACCCTGAGACTGCAGAACTTATCTTCAGTGCAACTGATACTCGAGTATATTTGTCTTATCGTCAACAAGTCCTGTGAAAACATTTAAGCTAACAATAAATCATTGTCCAGAAACTACACAAACACAACACTGAGTCACACTGTGTGTCATGTACCTTCTTTATCACACACACTGACCCACATGTACTGTCCTGCTGCCACAAATACTCTCTAGAAAACAAAGTGTGGATTCATCCGCTGCTGAAAGTAGTCCCCAACAAATATATTATTTTTCTATTTGAGTAAGATTTGATATAAACTAGTAACCAGCTATTTTAGGACATTACTGAGCTTTTTTAAAAACTGAAATCATAAATTTGAGAGTTGTTTTCCAAGATTTCCATGTTGAGACTCCAGGGGGCTTCTTCCGGGCTGCCTGCGAGCAGCTTTGGGGGTGGAAGATGCCTGGACGTGTAATGTTAATTCTTGCCTATGACCCTTTGAATAAACCAGCACGGTTATATTTTTTATATACTCAAGTGGTCTGAGTCGTCTCTCTGAGTTCCTGGTTGAAAGAACCGGACGTGGCTTTATAATAGAATAAAGCCTTTAAGACTATGAAGCTTGTTCTGACCGTACCTGCTCCTCGGCCGTGTGGATGATGGCCAGGTGGCCTCCCTTGGTCTGGCAGAATTGCTGACTGGCCAACCAGCTCCTTTGGACTGTGGAGATGAAGTAACAGCTGTTGTTGAAGAGACGCCAGTCTGTTTGACAGACGACAGGGGCCTTCGTTGTGGGTTTGATCACCTCAGGAGCTGATCAATGAAAGACACACACAGAGACACAAACATGAAAACTACTTATGGACTTAGGACAAAGTTTAATTCCACTGGACAGACTTATTTTTAAAATGAAAGTACAAAAACCGTTCCCAAAATGAGATCAGAATATCCAGGAACAGTTTTGTTATGACAAGGGAATTTTAAAACAAGTGCTTCACAGGGTACTGTAAAATAAAGCCACAGTTTAATCATTACAAATAAATGCTTTTAAGATTATTAGTGCACCAAAACACCAGTTAGATTCTTGACTGACCACCAAAAGTAACAGAATGGTACAGTCTCCCTGGTCCAACGTCTACACAGCTCTAACACTAATACACACTCTCCTCTCACCCAGTCACAGTTATCATGTATGTGAGGCTGAGTACACACTCATACACAATGGCGTCTACCTTTCATGGCGGCCAACTTGGCCTGCAGCTCCTCCTTCTCCTTCTGCAGTTGCTTTTTTTCCTCCCGCAGTTTCATGATGATGGCGGTCAGAGCCGTCACGTTTGCATCCTGTGTCTGCTTCTGTGGGTCTGAGTTCGACTCTCCATCAGGCTCGGGTTTGTTGCTGTCTGTGGAACATATGAACGAGTGAACAGAATAATGTTAACAAACCTAAAGCTCATCAACAACATTTAAATATCAGTATCAGTATTGGCCAGGTGATAATAAATGACTGGGCTCCTGCATAACTGCTCAGAAATCTAGTTCTAACCACACGGGGATAGATTCTGTACTTTAACACCGAGGACGAGCCCTTTCACTTGCTGCTGAGTCCTGTTTAAAAATGCACACACACACTGCACACACCATAGATACTGTATTTTAGGCAATGAATTGACTGAACAACAAGCAGAGCAACAAGAGTAACTACATACTGACAAACAAGAAGAATTTAAAATGTTTTCTCTTTGTTTTAGTTTTACTTTGTACAACAAAACCCCAACAAGTAAAAATGACCCTAGCCTTGTGGTCGATGTCCTGTTCCTGAAAAGAGCTGCGTGTGCCTTAAATCATGATAGTTAACTAAAGGAGCAAAATTATAATTCACATTTTTTGCCACACCTTTGAGCCTCGAGTGTGTTAAATAACTCAGCTGGCAGAGGTTTCACAAACAAGCTCATGAAAAGCAGAAGCCACCTGACTGTGCAGTTGTTTCAACACAAAAAGCACACACATATCAGATGTGTTTAAAAACACAGGCATGCTGTTGGCAAATGTGCCTAAAAACTCACTGCTGCAAAGCTGAAACCACTGGATCCTCTTTTCTTTCCTGGAACTGTTCATTCAGCACTTTTGAATTCAGTTTTCACAATGTGCAGAGATGAAGACCAGCAGTCATGTACCAGTATGTAGCTTCATCTTGTTGAGTAACACTTGAAGTACCCCCCAAGCATTGAATGGCAGTGTTAACATTTAATTAAAGACTTATACTGTAGTTATACACAGCTGTAATGACATTAAGTTTTCATAAAAACACAGTATTTGCCTCCAGATTTTTAACAATGAACAAACTGCCATGACAGTGCATGTAGAATATCGACAGCAGACTACATATAAAGTATCCGGATACTTTTACTTTAAACTGTGAAGGCTTTTTAGTGAACTACAGAACAGAAGACACACGTTTCTTCATTTAAAATGACCAAAGAAACTTCTTCACTCTTACAGTAAACCAAAAAAAAAAAAACCAAAACAGTCTCAATACCTACTACCTTAACATACTAATACACACGTGAGACTGTCAATATTGAGAGATCTAGAACTAATGATGGAACAAAGCAGGCACATGCTGTGTATAATCACTGTCTTTAGACCTTGAATTAAACTGTGCTTTTTGAAGTTCAGTCAGAAGAAGCTCCCAGGTCTATGGATGTCACATTTGTCTCACTCATTGATCATTAAGAATTAACAAACATTATGGAGGAGTTTCATAAAAAATTCAGCTCTAAAGTGTGTTTGTATCTGAAATGTGTCTCTGCCCTCTGTGTACTCACAGCGCACAGTGACGGCTATGATGGAGATTAGCAGGACGACACACAGTGCAGCCAGGCAGATGGTGGCAAAACGGTAGGGCCCAGGGCCCCTCTGCCTCAGGGCCAGTACGACCGGGGACACCGGGTGAGCTGGAGGTGGCAAAGGGGGGGAGACAGCCATTTAAAATAAGAGTTTTTCTTCTGTTTTTGGTTAGTGGAGAGTAATTAGAAACCAAGGTACTCTGATGTAAAACAGCATCATAATCAGTCCTGCTCATTGATTCACAACATTATCAGCAATGGAACTAATGAGAACTAAAGGGACGGAGACCTCGGTGTAGATTTATCAAGTTGATCAAAAATTAATCACCAATGAATTTAAGTAGCAATTAATTAATAACTGCTGATTTTTTTTTCCAAGCAAAAACACTAAACCTTCCCTAGTTTCACCTCCTCCGGTATAAAGATTTTATCATCAACGTAAACTGAATATTTTCTAGTTTTAGCCTGTTGGTTGGACAAAAAACATCTGAAGATGTCATTTCTGGCTTTTTGAAATTGGAAAAAGCATTTTTTTTAGTTTTTGATATTTAATAAGCCTTTAATTGAAAATAATCACCTGATTAATCATTAATGAAAATAACTGCTAATTGCAGCCCTACAACGTACAGTAAAATCTCTAATGTTAGACAAGTTTACATTATCTCCTGGTCTACACAGTACTTTGAACAATGGCCTACATGACAAACAACACCTACAGAAAATCAAACTGCATCAAAAGACAATGAAAAGGAAAAGCGTCACACTATAGTCAGTGTATGATGAAGTGTTATAAAGACCAACACCCTGCTCCGACACAAACTGTCCAGTCAGCTGACAAATGTAATGATATATGATCAGTATGATTTCGATATGATATTGTTGCATTCAAGGAAGTGAAACTGCTGAGGTACATGAAATGACTAAAATCAACATGTGCTCTATAGTGCTGAATTGTTTTCACATTTGCTGACCAATTACTTTTTTTTTAATGAGGCCTTTTATTGCTACTATCAGAGCAGTTTCTGGGAGGTGGGAAGTCTGAAACACATGGTATAACTCACTTAGCTGAAGCAATCAGACAGAAAATGTCTATTTTGACAATCAGTTCATTAGATCAGTTTTTTTTTTTAAAAGACAAACACCAAACATTGTCTAGTTCCAGCTGGGAAGACTTGCTGTGCTCCTCTGTTGTATGTGATGGTAAACTGTGGATTTCTGTTAGGGTTTAGTCCCCCTCACCAAGAGGGTGAGGGAGAACTCTGGTAGGACTCAAGATGGCTGACCCAGGTGCTAGTAAAAAAGGTGGTTTAATGGTGGGGATCACAAAAAGAAACAAGTCAATGAATACATACAACCAGGGCTGGGCAAAGACGGCTGGGGAGACCAGGACGACAAAGGGAGTAGATAGGTTAACAACAGGAAACAGGAGAGTAGGAGGATCAGGACGGACAGGTGAATAGACAAACTAACCAGGAGGATTGGTGAATGAAAAGGAGATCCACAGCACAGAAACTATCAGCGTGGACATCTAGAGACGTGTAACACAAAGCATGTAACCAACATACAAAATGAGATCCACAGCACAGGAACTGTCAGCGTGGAAAACAAAATGACGTACGATACATACCACAAATATAGGTACAGGTATGCAAGTTAATGCTCCAGTGAAGACAGAGCATCTGCCAGAGGTATAAATAAGGAGGAAAGGTAATCATAGGAATGCACCCCAGTTTCAGACTGTTAGATAATACAAGACATTACCTTCAGTTCTGAGAAAGTGTGACAGATAGTTTTCACTATTTTAGAATATTTTAGACTTAACAAATAAACTATATATTAATGTTGAAGCCCTAGAAACCTTCTCAGTGTTGACATCTGTGCAGGTTTTCATCTGGAGCTGTGGCCCAACAGGCCAGACTTTACCGATCTGACCCTTGTGACCTTTTACTGTCACTAGCAAAGACAACACATGGATATTTACTCAGTTAATCGATTAGGCATCCAGTTCCAGCTTCTCGGTATTTCATTTCATTGTAAACAGCATATGTTTGAATTTTGGAATTTTGTTGAGACAAAGCTGTGATTTTTCTTTGGGTCTATAAAGTTTACACAAACTATTAATTGATAAAAAGATCAATAATCCGTAGATTAATGGATACTGAAAGTTATTTGCAGCCTAATAAGAAGGCTTATCAACATAATAAACACAAAATTGTAATTTAATAAATAAACGATTACAGTCATAAAACTGATTCCAGACGACGTGATCACACCGGAGGCGTCTCGGAATCCAAACAGGTAATTTTAACCAAACAGGAGCATTAAACTGATTTGAGTCAAACCTGCGCAAAAACTCTCATCACGTTTCCATCACGAAGTTCGTATCTGTGTTTTGATTCGTGAAGTGTTTCACATTGTGTGTTTAGTGCGCAAACTGAAAAAGTAAACAAAAGAGACACAAGGCCGATATGAACTCAGACAAAGAGACTTGGAGAAAACAAACAACGAAAATGAACGCACGGCAGTGACAGCACAGTCTCCGTGAGTCCTTACCGCCCTGTCCAACATCTGGCCTGCGGTTGCGCTCAACATATGCGCCTTCGTCGTCCAACAGCTTGGAGTACATGCCCTCATAGGCCGGAGGGCTCCCGGGGGTCGACATGTCAGCGGCACCAAACACAGCAGGGTCCAAATGAACAGTTTAGAAAGTTTCTGTGAAGACTGAGAGTGGACAACAAAGTTCACTGAAGCTCCCTTCCACTGTTTCTACTGTTTATACTCTGCGCCTGGTGGTCTGCACTGGAGTCAAGCGCCGCAGAGAAGGTAAGATACATCCCGGACGTCGGTTTCAAAATAAAAGCCCTAATAATCCACAGGCGCTGCAAACGTTTTGTTCCAAAAATGCTGCATTGCAAAAAAACAAACAAGAATTAAACACACACTAAAAGCCAGCGGAGGCAGAAATGACTTACTCATATGAAAGTAATAAAATCATACTGTCAACCTGAAAGTACAAAAATACTACCAATAAAATGTACACAAATCGATTATACACCCAAAATGATCCCTGTATGTGTTACATTTGTTATAGCCTATACTCTTCTTATTATCATTATTATTATTACTGTTATAGGCTAAACTGGTTTCAACCCAAACATGTGCCAGTGGGGTCAG